GAAAGTCTCTTCAATAAATTGTGTTCAGAAAACTGGACAGCCACATGCAAAAGAATGAAAGTAGACCATTCTCTTTCCTCATACACAAAAATTAACTCAAAATGGACCAAAGACCTGAAGGTAAGACTAGAAACCTTAAAACACCTAGAAGAAAATATAGGCAGTACACTCTTTGACATCAGTCTTAGAAGGATCTTTTCGAACACCATGTCTACTTGGACAAGGGAAACAAAAGAAAAAACAAACAAGCAGGACTTCAGCAGACTAAAGAGCTTCTGCAAGGCAAAAGAAACCAGGATCAAAACGAAAAGACAACGCACCAAATGGGGGAAAATATCTGCAAATCATATATCTGACAAGGGGTTAATCTCCATAATATGTAAAGAACTCACACGACTGCACAACAAAAAACCAAACAACCTAATCAAAAAATCTGCAGAGGATATGAACAGATGTTTTTGCAAAGAAGATATACAGATGGCCAATAGGCACAGGAAAAGATGTTCAATGTCACTAATCACCAGGGAAATGCAAATCGAAACTATACTGAGATATCACCCTACATCTGTTAGAATGGCTTTAATCACCAAGACAAAAAATAACATGTTGGAGAGGGTGTGGAGAGAAGGGAACCCTCATACACTGCTGGTGGGAATGCAAACTGGCACAGCCACTATGGAAAACAGTATGGAGATTCCTCAAAAAATCAAAAATACAAATACCATATGACCCAGTCATCCCACTACTGGGTATTTATCCAAAAAACTTGAAATCACCAATCAAAGAGACTTATGCACCTCTATGTTCATTGCAGCATTATTCACAATAGCCAAGACGTGGAAGCAACCCAAGTGCCCATTGACTGATGATTGGATAAAGAAGGTGGTACATATACACAATGGAATACTACTCAGCCATAAAAAAGACAAAACCATCCCATTCGCAACAACATGGATGACCCTTGAGCATATTAAGTGAAATAAGCCAGACAGAGAAAGACAAACACTGTATGATTTCACCCATACGTGGAAGATAAACACACAGACAAAGAAAACAGTTTAGTAGTTACCTGGGGGAAGAGGGTTGGTGGGTGGGCACAAGGGGTGAAGGGGTGCATTTATATAGTGACTGACAAATAATAATGTACAACTGAAATTTCACAATGTTATAAACTATTACGACTTCAATAAAAAATTTTTAAAAACCTAAAAAAAATTGGGCAAAGATTAGAACATTTTGTCAAAAAAAATATACAGATGCCAAACAAACACATGAAAAGGTGTTCGACATCATTAGTCATCAGGGAAATGCAAATTTAAACCAAAAGGAGATACCATTACATACCTCCTGAAGTGGATAAAATTTAAAAGATTGACAATGCCAAGTATTGGCTAGAATGTGCAGCAAGTTCAGCATTTACTTACAAAGTGAAACATTCACTTACCACATGACTCAGAAATTCCACTCAGGTATCTTTCAAGTGAAGTGAAAACATATGTCTACACAAAGATTTGTACATGAATATCCATTTTAGCTTTGTTCAGAGTAGCCAAAAACTGGAAATAATCCAAGTGGCCATCAACTGGCAAATGGATAAGGATAAATCGTTATCTAAATGGACTATGACTCAGTAATTAATAGATACAAACTCCTGATACATGCAACAACATGAATAAATCACAAAAGCATTACTAAGTGAAAAAAGCCAGATACATAAGACTACATACTGTATGCATTTATATGAAGTTCTAGAAAAGGCCAATCTATAGTGATGACAGCAGATCAGCAGTTGCTAGGGGTTCGGGGTTTGGGGATGGGATTGACTGCAATCTTCTAAATCACATTTTTCGTAGTGGTGGCACTACGATACACATATGTCAAAACTCATCATTTACACTTGAAATTTGTGAATTTTATGGGAAATAAGTTATACTTCTACTGGCATTTGGATTCATCTTTGCTTACTTTTTTGTCACTCTTCTAGCCACTCAGTAGCTTCACATTTCATGGTTCAGAATTGCAATGTCTGCTAGTGTCAAGGATAGAGTTTGTGTTTCTGTTTCTTATTTTCCTTGTTGTTTCAGGGTAATTTTTGGGAGAAAAAAGAAGTGGGAAAGGGGGCCGGCCCTGTGGCATAGTGGTTAAGTCTGGCCTGCTCTGCTTCGGTGGCCCAGATTCAGATCCCAGGTGCAGACCTACACCACTTGTCAAGCTATGTTGTGGCGGTGACCCACATACAAAATAGAGGAAGATTGGCACAGATGCTAGCTCAGGGTGACTCTTCCTCATCCAAAAAAAAAAAAAAAGAAGTGTGAACATCCTTTCTTCACCATCTTAAACTTGGAAGTCTTATAGATGATATTCAAAACCAGGGGGCTGGAGCTGCCCCTATTTCTTACTGTACTAATTTACGTTTTGAGACACTACTAATGAGTTCCTACAGTGATAAATAAGAATTCAGATCTCCCATACCTCCCCACTCCCCCTTCCCTATCTTCCCAACACATTTATAAAACAATTTTAGTTATGTCGATAGTCAGGACACACTGTATTATGATTGTGCAAATATCACTCATAGAGAACCACACTAACACTACACCCATAGCAGCTTTCGTATGCAGCCCTTCATTTTTACTGGTGTTTTCTCATTTGCCTGATTTTCTACACAACTATCATTAATTTTTCCTACTGTCCCAATAAAGTCTGCCTCAATTCTATCAATAATATTTTCCATAATCTCAAATATGTCATGTTCATCTTATTCCTAGAGACTTTCCTTTCAGAGCCTTCCTTCCATGTTCTCCAGTTCAGACTGGATGATGTACAGATGTCATCTGGAAATTTCTATCCACCGTCATCCTGGGGATTCACGTTGCCTTGTGTGCTTTGGATCCCTTGCTTTCTGGATCCATGTGCTCCTTTCTTGGCTTCCTCCCTTGTTTTGCTGGGTCGTTACCTCCAGCAGTTCACTAAGGAAGGATACAAGGGAAGCAAGTGATTTTAGTTCTTGCATGTCCCAAAATAGCTTATTTTCCCCTCATTTGATGGACAGTTTGGCTGAATCTAGAAGTGTAGGGTGTAAAATAGAATATCGAAGGCATTAGTCCATTGTCCACTAGATTCCCACGTGTTGTTGACAGGTCTGTTGATTCTGATTCTCTCCTTCTTCTCTCCAGAAGTTTTCGGCATCTTCCCTGGATCCCTCATACAGGGACCCCTCGTGCCTGACCCTGGGTCTTCTTCATTCCCTGTGTAGGCACATCCCTTGTGCCAGCCCTTTGGATTTGGAAACTCACGCTTTGGTTCTGGGAAATTTCCTTGTTTTATTTCCTTGATGATTTCATCTCCTTGGCTCTCTTGCTGGCATTACTAGTAGTTGGCTTTCAACCTCTTAGACTTATCCTCTTGCTTTATCTTTTCTCTGCTATTTTCCATCTTTTTGTCTTTTTGTTCCGTCTCCTGATATTTCAGATATTTCTCTGAATTTAGTTTTAGACTAAATTTTTATTTCGGCATATATTTAACTTTAATATATGTTTTCAGTTTTTTAAAAAGCTCTCTGATTCTCGTTTCATGGATATAATACCATCCCTAGCCTTTCAGGGAGATTGTCAGTTTGATGTTGTCTCTGATTTCTCCCAATTCTTTTTTCCATTTATTTGTTGGGTTTGTTTTCTGTCTTTCGAGTTAGAAGCTCCCCTCCATGTGCTTGGCCATCGGCTCTCATTTATGCCAAGGGCCTAGAAAGTTCTTTACACAGACGACAGACTTGGGCCCCAGGGGCTTCAGTCTAATAGGAAAGAGCTTCAAACCGGCTCTCATTGTGAAGAACCCCAAATGGTCACCTCTGGGATTTACTCCAGAGAAGAATCTCATGTCCTGCCTTGGCGGGAATGTAAAGCATGCTCCTGGCATTGTGGAAAATGAGATGGGCTGGTATTCAGATTTTCACTCAATTCCCCTGTGTCTAGTCTGTGTTTCCTCCCATCCTGCTGCCCACTCTCAAACTCCTCTTCAAATACCATCGGCTCCTCTCCCATTTCCTCGGTCTTAACCCTTTTATTATGCTGTTATTTTAGTAATCAGTAGGAAGGGAAAAAAAAGGAATAATGCATTATCTAACCTGGCCTGCACTGTTTCAGTGATAAGGAGACTGAACGAGATTCAGAGAAAGTTTGCCTTCTCTGTGGTACCCCACGACTCCCCACAGTCACTGCTTCTGTCTAGGTCTCAATTTCCTCACCTAGAAAATGGTAGAATAGTACTAGATGAATTCTAAAAACTCTTTCTATCCTGAAATTGTATGTTTCAAGAAACCAGAACCTGGTGTCCAAGGTTATTTTACCTATTTGTCATATTTTCGGTGCTCCCAAGATGTTCCACCAATCTCCTTTAAAGATCTCTTCTTCCATTCTCCCGAATCAATGGCCAGAGGCAGGGCTGGCTTCACGGGGGTGCAGCCTGGGCAGTCATAGCAGACCTCGGACTCAGAAGGGCCCCACACTTGGTTTAACACTCTGCTGTTGCCATCTTGAAATTCTTATTAATTGTTGAACAAGGGGTACCACATTTTCATTTTGTGCTGGACCCCATGAATTATGTAGCCAGTCCTGGCCACTGGATGGCAAAGCCAGGACTCATCTTTCAAGGACCTTCACACTCATTGCCAGAGCTACAACTCCTGTGGCTGTTAACTTCTGCTTCCTGGAAGGGAGGAAGGAGCGAGACCACAGCTGCCCCGAGACCAGAAATGGATAAACCAGCCCACAACAGGTTCTGCAACTTGCCTGAGATCTTATCGCTCAAGAGTTTGGAAAACTCTTGAGTTATTTAAGCCAAACTCTGAGTACCTCACATGAATCTTAGAAGGTCATTTTGCTTCTGTTTCAATGGGGCTGTGCCTTCTGGCTGTTGATGTCCTTTGACAAGGCAATTTTGCAACCAGAGGACTTTATTCATTCATCCTTCATTCACTAAAGAAACCTTTATGAACCACTTACTCTGTTAGCAGAAAAATGGGCTTTTTGGAGCAGGCAGAATCGAGTTAAGATTCCTCTCTTGCTGGCCCCATGACCTGATTTGACCTTCTGAGCTTCGGCTTCCCTTCCTGTTTGATGAGAAGAGAATGATTACCTCCCAGCTCAATGATGAGATAACATGAGTAATAGGCCTAGTACAGTGCCTGACACACTATGTGCCCAGCAAGTATTCATTCCTTTAGTCTTCTCCCCAGCCCTATAAACCACAGCGGGTTTCAGCTTCAGTTATGAACAGACCACAAGCAGGCCACAAGCAGGCTGTGGAGCACTCAGAGGGTCCATTCTATCTTCTCCCCAGCAGAAATGTTGAGAGAAGCCCAGGGAGGAAGGAGGCTCATGCCTATGAGAGGTGTTGAGAGTGGTGTTTGCTTTCTGGAGCATCCCTGTGCTCTGTGATTAGCACTTCATAGGTTCCCAGAAAACTTTGAAGATAATAATATGTCTCCCTTCCTTTCAATGGATGATCTTGAAGTGATACACTTAAGTCTGTAATGAAATTTGGAGGCTCTCACAAGGAGCCAAGACTTGGTCTTATCTTAAAAGTCTAGCTATGAAGATTCAGCCCACAGACAGGAGTGGCACAGGAATGTGCCCTTAGAAATGCCTCCTCCACAAGCCGTGCCTGTTTTGTGAGATGAATGGAGTGATGAGCTAGTAAATTTAGCCTAATAATTTATGGCATTTGTATTTCACTTTTCAGTTTACAAAGCTTTGACAAAGCCCTTGCACATCCACTATCCCATTTGCATCTTACAATCTCAGAAAGTGTTTTGGTAAGGTTATCATCCCCGTCCTGCAGATGAGAAAAGTGAAACTCGAAGAAGTGACTTGTCCAGGTCACACGGCTAGCCAGTAAGCATCAGGGCCAGGATTCAAATCCAGTCTCCTGATTGCAGAGTCTCTGCTCTGTTGCCTCCCTGAAATAGTATTTAACCATTTCCACATTCAGTAGAAATTCTTTAACTAAACTTTTAGCTGAGTTGTCCTGGGATCCAAGCCCTAGGATGCTGGTAGCATCAGGGGCTCAGGAAGAGGCAGAGAGACTAGACCTAAGGTGGCCATACCTGGCAGACTAGGGCCCCAGCCCACTGAGCGGTGGCTACATTCCTGGAATTCCAATGGCCTGGTCACCTGAGAATAATGCAGCCCCTCAGGGTGGCTTCATCAGGAGCCAGATCTGTCCCTCTCACCCACTCAAGGACTTTGCTCCTGTAATTCTGCCCCCTCTCTCCCACTAACCAATATTTCATTTCATTAGCATATAAACATGCTGCAATAGTTCACATTTTTAACCTCCTCCATATCTCCCTTTACTGTTGCCCAGTTCTCTGCTCTTCCTTTCAGCAAAACTCCTACAGGACTTGTCTTTACTCACTGTCTACTCTTTTCCTCCTGTTCTGCCTTGAACCGACTCCAATTAAACTTCCATCCTTACCACTTTATTGAAATCATCTTGTCAATGACATGTATCTTGCTAAGTCCTATGCTAAGCTCACCCAACTCTTAGTAACATCTGATATTTCTTCTTTCTTGAGACTTTCTTCACATGGCTCTTGTCACCACACTCCACTGGTTCTCCTCCTTCCACATTAGCTGCTCCTTCTGCACCATCTTTACTAGATTGTTCTGCTCTTCCTGACTTCTAAACGTCACAGGGCCCATGTTTTGGCCCGAGGCTCTCTCCTCTCCCCTACTATCTACTCTCACTCTCTACGTGGCTTCGTTTAGTCTCAAGGCATTAGATCTCACTTTTACACTGTGACTCCCAAGTTCACATCTCCAGTCAGAACATCTCCTCTGAATTCCAGATTCATTTGTCTGACTTCCTATTCAATATCTCCTCTTGTATTGCTAATAGACATATCAAATTTAACATTTCCCAAATCTTGATTTTCACCCCCCTAACCTGCTCATAACCATCTCAGTGAAAGGCTCCACCATGGCCACACTCTGTCATCCTTGATTCCTCTCTTTTTCTCACAACTACACACACTCCACTGATGGCTCCACCTTCAAAGAACATCTATTTCTCACTGCCCATGATAGTGCCAACTCCAAGCTCTCCCATCTCTGGGTTGGATTCTTGCAAGAGTCTCCCAATTAGTCATCTTCATTCCACCCTTATCTTCTGTGGTCTGTTCCCCACACAGAGGCCTGAATAACACTTCAAAGCATAAACCACAGAGATCTTTTGTGGAGTGCCATATTTATAACGAGGTCGGGCCCAACGCTTTCTGAGAGGGTCATGGCACAGCAGCCAAGCTGTGCGTCCTACACCAGACTACCCAGTTTTGACTCTTGGCTCGACTACCTACATAAATTTTAAATGACCTCTCCTTTTTCAGTTTTCTTGTCTGTAAAATGGGGCTGATGACGATTATAATATTCAGATGAGTTACGTTTAGAAGGGTGCTTGGCTCAGAAAATGCTAGATATGCATCAGTTCTGACTTTGTTAAGAAAACTAATGTTGTCAATGCCCTTGACTGGAAGGGATGTGGTGGGTTTTAACAAACATATATGGGAGGGAAATTCAGTAAGAATGGTGAAAAGCAGGAACTACACCCTGGTGTGCTCAGGCCTTTCCTCCCTCCACAGCCTCCCTCCTGTCGTAGGAGTACCCACTACTCCAATTGAGCCCCAGATGCCTGTGTGGGCCCCCACTTGTCTGCCGCTCCAGGTTCTCCCTGGCTCTGAGCCAGAATCCCTTGAAGGTAGTCATCCTCACCTCCAGGCACATGTGGAGTGGGCAGTACACGGCAGTCATGGCTGGACGACTGACTGCCAGCTGATCCACCGGGAGTCCCTTCTCCCTTCTCTAGTGGGAGCCAGTGATGGTGGCCAGGGGGTGGGACCTACTGGGGACACCTGGTGTAACACACGGGACAGACGGCATGGGCGTACTGGCCAAATATCAGCCTGGTAGGTCCAGAAGACCTTTGGCAATCCACAGTTGGGGCCTGCCCTGTCCTCTGACCTGGAGCCTCAGGACTCTACCTTTCACCCATTACCTTCCGGCCACACTAGCTTCCTTTTGTTCCTCAAACACACAAAGCCTGGTCCTGCCTCAGGGCCTTTTCATTCTCCCTGAGATATATTCCCCCATATTGTTGCGTGGCTTTCACTGCATTCCCATCTCGACTCATCTGGCCCTTCTTCAGAGAGGTCTCCCTGATGACCCTATAGGAATTCTGCTCACTTTCCCCCACCCCAGTCACAGCATATACCTACCCAGCTGTATTTTTTAAAGCATTTCTCACTCCCTAAAGTTATATTTTATATTTATCTGTTTTCTATCATTCTGCCATGATAAATATGGCCAAAATAACAGACAACAAATACTGTTGGAAGATGTAGATAAAGTGCTGAAAATTTAGAAGAAACAAGTATTAGCACAAATTACACAGGTTTGCAACTTGAAAGTCTGCTATACAGTTGGATGAAATAAAGATATTTTGAACAACTCCTCCCTCATGACAGTCACTAGATCCTGTTTCAATAATGGAATACAGAAAGAACTGCTTTTGAGGAGCCACTAATGGGAAGATGAACCAGGGAGCATATATTCTCAACAGTAAATCATTCCTTTTATAACACAATATTTTACAGTAAAATTGTGTCCATGAAACCATTGAAGGAGCGGCTGCTTTGACTAGGATAATAGAAGAACTCTGAGATAAGACTGCCAACTGTGCTGTGGGTGACATGCCACCTCATTCACCAGCAGGAAGTGGCAGCAAAAGCTGAAGGCAGAAGGGCACACGTTGCTGTATGATGCCACGGATGTAGTTAATAAGGACACAAGACCTTTCAGATGTCATGGGATCATTAGCATAATCTGTAATGAGCTGAGTATCCATGAAAGTCCTTTGTTTCACATGTTGGCTAACTCATGGCAAAATACTTAAAAGACCTGTCAGACTTTTACAGACGTGTTATCTTTTTTCAAACAAAAAGGCAAGAATTCCCGCAATGACAAGCAGCTGTCGGTAGTAAACTGCCTGGCAGATATTTTTGAAACTGTGAATACACGTAATTTCTCCCTTTGGGGTATAGGGGATGCTTTAACAGGGTGAGCAGGTGAATGGCTGGGTGTGTTGACTGGCCTTATCTTTATGTTTCCGATCACAGACGTCCAGGGGCCTCTAAGGCTGCATGACAATTTACTAGATTTCTGATTTAACTCTCCCATTTCCAAGAGCTATTCCACCTCTGCTCTCTCCTCAGGCCTCGCACAACCCTCCCCACTCCCACACGCAGCTAAGGACTTACTTGCCGTTTCTCCAGAAACAATCAGAAGAGTCCTCCACCACGTTCCCACCAGTGCCTGTGTCTGACTGTCGTGCTCTCTCTTCTTTCCTGGTCCTGTCACAGACAAATCATCTGGGCGAAGGCCAATCCCCCCGCTCTGGCTGCGGATCCCATCCCCTCCCCCAGCTCAGGGGTAGCCCCCTGAAATCATTCCCCCTCTCTTCTAACGTCTTCAACAAGCGAGCAAAGAAACAAAAACAAACAAAAGAAGTTTCCCTTGACCTTACATCACCAACCAGCTATGGCTCCTCTGCCTCGGTCTGCAACAGAATCCCTCACCAGAGCGGTCCACACTCTTCCACCATTCTCCATCGAACCCACTCTCTTTGGCTTCTGTCCCCATCACTGAAACCTCCTTTGTCAGGTCACTGATGACCCATGTCCAGATCTGACGCTCACATCTCAGTCTTCATCTTCTGCGGTTCTCAGGAGCATTTGACGTAGCTGTTGGCTTACTCCTTTCCGACACGCTTTCTTCACTTGGCTTCCAGGACATTACAGGCTACTGGCTTTCCTTCTACCTGGCAGACATTCACTCTCAGCCTTCTTTCTGGATCCTCCACCTTGGTTCCTACTTCTGTATGTTGGAGCACCCAGGTCTCAGTTCTCAGATCTTATTCTCGATCTGGACCCATACCCTTGATGATCTGATTCAGGCTGTTGACTCACAGATTTATACCTCCAGGTGTTACCTTTCCCCTGAACATTAAATTCATCTATTCAAAGCATACTCAACATCTCCACTCGGAGATTGAATGGGCATCACTAACTTAAACATCTCACAAAAAACTCCTGATTTTTTGCCCAAACTCTGTCATAAACACACATAAGGCTTCCTGATCTCAGTAAATAGCAACTGCATTCTATGTAGATTCAGACCCTAAACTTTGCAGTCAACCTTAACTCTTCTTTCTCCCACATCCTACATCCAATCCATCAGAAAAGCCTTTTGGCTTATACCTTTGAGATATATGCAGAAGTTGATCATATCTCATCAGCATCACTTCTCACCCTACCATCAGCCCCAGGATGGTTCAGCAGCCTCCTGGGTGACCCTCCTGCTACCCCACAGCCCCCTTACAATGTATTCTCTGCACCCCCAGAGCACCCTTCTAAAATATGAGTCAGCTGCTGTCACTCTTGTACATTCCATCTCCCTGAGACAAACTCTGATGTCGTTACTATAATCCACAAGACTATCCATGATCTGGGCCAGCCACCTCTCTGACCTCGTGGCCTCTACCACACTCCTCCCTGCTTATGAAGGGCCACCTTCCTGTCTCAAGATCTTTGTACCTGGAGTGCTAATCCCTCACACAGCTGCATGGCTGGGTCCCCCACTTCTTTTAAGTCTCCTCTCAAATGTCACCTTCATTTGAGAGGCCTTCCCAGTCCACTCTGTCTAAAATAGCAACTCCCATCCCCAACCTTCCACTCATCTATTCTCTATCTTCATATTCTGCTTTCTTTTTCCTCATGGCAGTTTTTTGCCACCTGACAGATTATACAATTATTGATTTATGTATGTATCATGTGTCTCTCCCAGCTAGCATGTCAGCTTCATTCCCTGTGCCTAAAACAGTATCTGGCACATGCAGGCACTCATTTGTTTAATGCATGAAAAAGTAACCGCTTTTTTGGAAGAAAGCTATGCAACAGAGACAGCATTTTGAGAATGGATGTTTGCAAATGTTTCCATTGGCATGAAAACACTTGGTTCTCTGTATCTTTGTGAGGTATCTTTTTCTGTTATGATTGCCATTAAAAAGAAGTACTAAAGTAAATTGAAGTAGACAAGAACTACAAATTACTGTATCACATACTGTTAAGCCAAGATTTTTAACAATAGTGCACTCTTTAATTACATAACTCTTACTAATATTTTCATTGAAAGTGATTTATATTAATAATTTAAATTTTATTTATCTTATTTTAATATTTATATTATGTACAACATACATCACTAGAACAGTCCTGCATGTATATAATTTATACAAAAATACACATCTGTATAATGGGGATGTGTGCTCAAAATATTTCTCTGATATGTTGTTATCTAGAGGAGGAGGGTTAGGACAGATTAGATCTGGGCATACGTTTTAGGTTTTTGTTACATCACATTCTACTTCAAGAACCAATTTCTGTAGCTTACCTATTACTTCGTGACAAACTAACTGAGAACTTAGTGGCTTAAAACAATAACCATTTTGTTGACTCAGAATTCTGTGAGTGGGGAATTTGGGCAGGACTTGGCTCGGTGGTTTTCTGTTCCACCTAGCATCAGCAGAGGTCGTTCGCTAGGCTGGGAGGTCCAAGAAGGCTTCACTCACATGTCTGACACTTCAGTTCTCCATGCAGCTTCTCTGGCTAGCTTGGGCTTCCTCACAGCATGGCTGTCTTGAGGTAGTTGGACTTCTTGCCATGGCTGTTGGATTTCAGGAAGACACATTTGAAGAAGGGAAAAAGCTGCAAAGACATTGCTTGGAAGCTATATAACATGACTGAAGCAACATTCTATTGCTCAAAGCTGCTTACAAGACTGTTGCTGATTTAAGAAGTGCGGGAAATGGACCTCATCTTTCAATGGGAAGAGTGAAAAAGAATTTAAGTCCATTTTAAATCCACCACAGGCTTCTTTTGCACGTTATTATGTTTGTGAGACTCATCCATGTTGCTGTATGTAGCAGTTACTCATTCTTTTTCATTACAGTATAATATTCCATTATATGACTATATCACAATTTGCTTATCCATTCTCCTATTGATGGACATTTAGTTTTCAGTTTTAGCTATTATAAAGAAAGCTTTATGAAAATAATTTTACATATTTTGGTGAACATATACACTAATTTCTCTTGGTATATATCTAGGAATGAAATTGCTGGGTCATAATTAGCGTATATTTAGCATTACTTTGAAACAATTTTCCAAAATATATCTAACAATTTACATTCCCATCAGCAATGCAGAAGAGGACCAGTTTATCCATATTCTTGCCAAACCTTGATGTTGTCCACCTTTCTAACCTTAGCCACTCTGGTAGATGTGTAGCAGCATCTTACTGTGGTTTTAACTTGTGTTTTTCTGATGAGTCATTATGTTGAGTACTTTTCATATATTTATTGAGCTTTTAACTATCTTCTTTTGTGAAACAGCTGTTCAAGTCTTTTGCCTATTTTTACTAGGGTTATTATTGACTTTGTGAATTTACTGAAATGTACTGATTTATTGAATTCTTTGTTGTGGATACAAGTCTTTTGTTGAATATATGTATTGTGAATATCTTGTCTTGGTCTTTAGTTTGCCTTAACAATGTCTTTTGATGAACTAAAGTCCTTAGTTTTGATGAAGTCTAACTTAACAACGTTTTCTTTCACGGATAGCGTTATTGTGATCTGTTTAGGAAATCTATCCCATCTCAAGTCATAAAGATATTTACTGGGGCCAGCCCCGTGGCCGAGTGGTTAAGTTCATGTGCTCTGCTTCAGCGGCCCAGGGTTTCAGCAGTTCAGATCCTGGGCACAGACATGGCACCACTCATGAGGCCACGCTGAGGTGGTGTCCCACACAGCACAACTAGAAGGATCCACAACTAAAAATACACAACTATGTACTGGGGAGCTTTGGGGAGAAGGAGAAGAAGAAGAGAGAAAAAAAACGGAAGATTGGCAACAGTTGTTAGCTCAGGTGCCAACCTTTAAAAAAAAAAGAAAGCGGCCTAAACTCCATTAAAAAAAAAAAAGATATTTACCTATTTTTTTCTAGAAGCTTTACGGTTTTACCTATTATATGTGGGGCATGATCTATTTCAAATTAATTTTTGCATATGGTGTGACATAGGGGTCAATATATTTTCATATGAACATCCAATTGATCCAGAATCATTTACTGAAAAACCATCCTTTCCCCCACTGAATTTTAGTAGCACCTCTGCTGTAAATCAAGTTATCTTACATGTATTTATGGGTGAGTTTCTGGACTTTCTATTCTGTTCCACTGATCTTTTGGTTGTCCTTGCATCCTACTATCTGGATTACTGTTTGATTTACATATTTTTTAACATTAAACCAACCTTGCATTCCTAGAATAAACCCAACTTGGTTTTGATTTATTATCCTATTTATATATTGCTGAATACAACAAAGGACTTCCATTCAATTTGCTGATATTTTGTTTGGAACTTTTGCATCTATGTTTCTGGGAAAGAATGGGCTTTAATTTTTACTTTTCTTGGAATACACTTGTCAGGTTTTGGTGTCAAGGTTATGCTAACTTCATAAGATGTGTTGGTAAATTCTCTCTCTTTTTCCATTATTTGGAAGAGTCTGTGTAAGACGGGTATTATTTCTTTCTTAAATGTTTGACAGAATTTACCAGCTTTACCGTGTTTGAGATTGAGGTTTTCTTTGTGAGAAGGTTTTTTTATTTATAGAGTTGATTTCTTAAATAGATATAGGATTGTTCAGATTTTCTATTTCTTCTTGGATACTATTTGATAACTTGTATTTTTCTAGGAATTTGTCCACTTCATCAAAATTTTCAAATTTATTGGCCTAGAGTTATTGGCAGAATTGAGTAATAGTTAGTGTTGGGCTCCACGTCACTTAAGAGGTGTGGAACTTTGGGTATATTCACTGCTAGGGCATAACAGTAGAGCTGGGGTCCTTGCTATGGGTGGGTCCTCTTGCTAGGCTTGAAGGGCTAAACACGTCTTCTGATTTACACATTCTTTCTTTAGATATGTTAATACCTTCAATCAGGCTTTGGTGTTCAATCAGATTTTGGCCCAGGGACTCTTGGGTCCCTTTAAAGGTTTATCATCTCTGTTCTAATTTTATTTCCCTGTTTCCTCTACTTAGGGTTGCCTCAGTGTTGCTCCACCATATCACCTATTTGTAGCTGAACTGTTTTCCAGAAATATACCCATATTAACTCTTACCTGCAGCATAAGACAGAGTCCATCTCACTGAGCCCTTTTGCCACTGATCATTTCCATTAGACAAAAATAATCTGTGGCAATCCAGATAGGCCAAAAATGACATCTGAGCCAGAGTTTTAAGAAATGCATGTTAGAGCTTTTCTGCTAAAATATCCCTTTAAGTTTTACAGTCTAAAACGACATTTTTTTCCAAAGGGCTGACTTTGCTCAAAACACTTAATTTCCTTTTAAAGGAATGGCTGGAAATATCTGTGGTTCGTTTCTGCACAACCATGTCCAAAGTCTCAAATCAAGATATGTCATCTATTTAAACTATTTTGCATATACATAAAAATCTTACAAAGTCATTCATCCATTCAGCAGATCCTTACTGATCACATGCTGTGAACTAAGTACTGTTCCAGGCCCTGGATATATAGCAACAAGCAAAAAGACAAAAATCTCTGATCTCATATGTTAGTTCAATACATTAACTCCTATTTAGTTGGCCATTCAATACTGCCCCGTTCCCATTCTAATATTTCAACATTTGAAATCAGGGCTGGTCTAGAAAACAAGAGGCTCAGGATCAAGCTGTTCATATGACAATCCTTGAAGCTTTGAGGATGGGTAAGGTCTTTTGCAAAGAGTCTGAAGTTGCACAGAGCCAAGCCTAGTAAATGACATGGGTGACATAACAGGAGAAGAGAATTTACCTAATGCCATGATAAAACAATGGGACTGATTGCTCCACTGGACCGGGTGCCTCTTGAAGGCAGGGACTTTGTCCTGTTTATCTCTCATTTCCCAATTGCTGGAACAGTGCCTGGCATACAGTGGGTGTTTAATGACTTTGTGAAATAAATGAATTAAATGAATAAGGAGTGAATGAATGAAGAGTCACTCCCTTGGTGATCTCATCTAGTGACTTTAAATATCATCTAGACAGAGATAACTCCCAAACATATATCTCCAGTCCAGGATTTGCCTCTGAACTGTGGACTCCTATATCCAAATGCCTTCTCATTCTACCTGGATGTCTTACAAGCATCTCTAACTTAATGTCCCAAATCAAACTCCTGATTCCTCCTCTACCCCACTCCTAGACTGTTCCACCCTTAGTCTGCCCTGACTCAGTCAATGATCACTCCACTCTTCCAGTTGCTCAGGCCAAAAATCTTGAAGTCATCTCGGACTCCTTTCTTTCTCTTACAGCCCAATTCTTGTCCAACAAGATATCCTTTTGGCTCTACCTTCCAAATCTGTATTTCCGGGACCTGTGTACTTCTCACTGTCTCAGCTGCTTTCACCTGGTTCAAACTACCATTATATCCTGTCTGGATTATTGTAATAGTCTCCTGATTCGTCTCCTAACTTCTACCTTTGACCCCTATCAGTCTATTCTCCCCACAACAGCCAGAATGATCTGTTAAACATAAGTCAGATCATGTAACTCCTCCAATGATTTCTCCAATTTCTCCAAGTCAAAGTTAAAGTCCTTACAACCATATTTTGCCCCAACGTCACTTTCTACTCTCCTTTTAGCTCCTGTTCCAGGCACTCACTGACCTCCTTGCTGATCCTTAAATGGCGTGGCACCAGGCTCAGGACTAGGAATTACGGATGGATGTTCCCAGCATGCCTCTTTGCTCCCTTGCCTCAAAGGTCACCTTGTCAATGAGACCTTTCTTGACCACCCCATCTAACACTGAAACCACTTTATGGCTCCCACTCTCCTTTCCTGCTTTTCTCCTTGGCCTTCATTCCCATCTATCATACCATATATTTTCCTTATTTATTTTTGTCTCCCCACCAGAATATCATCTCCATGAAGGCTGGGACTTTGGTTTACTCTGTTCCCTGCTGAATCCCCAGGACCTAAAATATCGCCCGTTTAATGAATAAATCAAGGAATAAAAGTGTCCAGTGAAGGAACAACAATAAAAGTTAACATTAATGAGGCCCTACTATGCGAGGCTCAGTGATAAGGGACTCACAGGTAACATCTAATTGGTATAGAGGAGGAAACCGAGGCACAGGGAAACAGAAGAGCCGTGATGAGAAACCCAGGTCTAACTCAACCACGTATGTTCTTTGTCCAGAAGCGCACGCCTCTCGGTGCTGTTCGACGCCAGCAGGACGGGGAGGGCCCCGAGCCGGGTCCTGGCCCCGAGCCCGGTCCTCGCCCCGGGACTGGCCCTGCACGCCGCCTCCCTTGCCCCTTAAAAGACTAAGAGGGTCTTGGAACGAACGCTGTCAGAAGAGCGTGATTGAATCAGCCCAGCGTTCGGCACCGCCCAGTTTCTTACTGGTTGGTTTCTGTTACCTCGACTACTAGAAAGGGATGCAGTCTGGGAGGGGGATGCAGGATTCGCGGAGCTTTGCCTCTCGCGCGAGCAGAGGTTTCCCCGCGGCCGCAGGCGCCGCCCGGAATCCAAACTCAGGGGCTCGGTTTCCGCCCGGAGGGCTCTTCCCGGCGCTGCCGGAAGCGGCGCCGGTGCCGGGTAACGGGCCCGGGCGGCGGCGGCGGCGTCGTTATGGACCTGGACGAGGCGGTGAGGGGGCAGCGCGCCGGGCGGGCCCGACGGCGGGGCCGGGGCAAGGACGCTGGGGAGAAGGGGCTGGTGGCCGGAGGCTGGCTGTGGGGGCGTCCCCCGGCCGAAGGAGGGCGGGGCGGAAGGCTGCAGGCGGCGGGAGGGATGGGGCTGGCGGCCGCGTGTGCGCGGGGTTTTCGGAAAGAGCTGGAGGCTGTGGGTGGAAGCGTTAGTCGAAGTGGGTGTGTTTCAGGAGCGGGATGAAGTTGTTGGCTGGAGGAGGAGGGTTCTGTGGGTGGCCCCACATGGCTCATCCTCTCTCGCCCGGACACTCACGGGTTCCCAGGGATGCTGGGGTGGGCGAGGGGGCGCCGGGGTTGGAACCAGAGTATCCCCAAGTCGCCCCTGCCGGTCTCTGGGAATCCTCGCCACGGGCCGGTGCAGGGATTCCAGGCTGGGGTTTGGCGACGCTCCAAAGTAACGGTAGGTATCAGGACAGGTTAATGAAAACTGCACCAGCTCGTCGAAATAAACTTGGCATTCATTTTTTACATACTACTTAAAACACCTCCCTCTGATGGTGTTAAAGGAGTATTCGGTAATTAGATCAATGATAACGTCAAACACCAAAGAGGTGGGAAGCAGTACTTTAGTGCGAGTCTGTGCGTGTGCGGAAGCTTATGGTGATAGGACTTCAGTCCTCCAGCACCTAGCTCAATGCCTGTTACATACAAAGTTGATCCTCCTTATATTGCTGAGTGAGTAAATGGAAGCTCGAAACAACCCTAATAAAAATCTGGTTGTTTTGCGGTGAGTATGTGTTTTTAGTGTCCTGGAGGAAGTTCCAAATGGTATGCTATTTCTAGTTTTTTATTTTTTTTATTTTTTTTTATTTTTTTTAAAGATTTTATTTTTTCCTTTTTCTCCCCAAAGCCCCCCGGTACATAGTTGTGTATTCTTCGTTGTGGGTTCCTCTAGTTGTGGCATGTGGGACGCTGCCTCAGCGTGGTCTGACGAGCAGTGCCATGTCCGCGCCCAGGATTCGAACCGACGAAACACTGGGCCGCCTGCAGCGGAGCGCGCGAACCCAACCACTCGGCCACGGGGCCAGCCCCCTATTTCTAGTTTTTTAATCTTCTCTATACTTAAGTCTTGTCATCTCTTTTTGTCACAGCATTCTCAAGGAGTATTATTTACTCATCTTTTTTTTCCATTTTACCCCTACCACCTTTTCTTCTTTTTTTCCCTTACACACTGCGTATTTTAGAAACATTTCTTTAATAGTTTAATTTGGTCTCAAACTGCTCAAAGACTGAACTGCTATTTTCCTTGTTTGTAGATAATGTCCCTGATCTATTTTCTGTTTTTGATTATTTTTTATTTATAGAGTAAAATTGCAGGGAACCCTATAAGTAGAATTGCTGGGTTTGGGTACAGTGTATTGAGTGTGGTTTCCCTCTTCTACAGAAAGAGTTCAAGGAACGCTGTACTCAGTGTGCCGCTGTCTCTTGGGGTCTTACAGATGAAGGCAAATATTATTGTACTTCTTGCCACAACGTTACAGAAGTAAGTAATCGATCTCATTTATGAATCTGCTTATGTTTTAAAAATTGCTGTTTCAGCCTGATATGTGGCATAGTTCCCGAAGAATCGATCTATTTTTATCACTCATGCAATGCCCGACTTCCAAGATCGTAAGTCGTCTTCCAAAGGCTTACACACGTGTTAAAGAATTTGTAGATCAGATTTAGGATGAGTTTTTAAAATGATGTTGGGCCACATATGTACATGATTTCCTGATTCAGACTGTATAGTCTAAGGGGAAATGATTAAAATTATACTTAGAAGATTATTTATTTCTTTTTATTAGTTAATACTTATTAAGAGTTTTTAATGTGTTGGGGTAGCTTAAAGGTTTGGAAGATGGAGAGTTAGCAAGACTGAGGATTGTTGGGAGTATTGGAAATATGCTTCATTATCATTTTATCTTTGTACAGCACCTCATAGCGTTACAAAGTGTTTTCTTATCCATTACTTCGTTTCCTTCTCGGGATGACCTGTGGGATATACTCTTATGCCTATCTATAGATAGGGCGAGTAGGGCTCATGAGTTCAGTGCGTTTGCCAAAGTCACATAAGTGCGAAGTGTTCAGCCAGGGCTTGAACCTGGGTCTTCTGACTCCAGTGTTCATTTTACCCCATCACACTGCCTCCTAAAACGGAGATTGTCATACTGTCCTGTAGAACCTTGGTAAATGAGGCTACCTTACACTGAGAGTGCTGGGTCGTGTTCTGCTTACCACACCTTCAGGGCAGTATAAGCAAAATAATCAAGGATGTGGACAGTCTGCTATTGGACAGGCTAAACAGGCCAAGACTCTTCTCTCTGGAAAAGGATTTGCTCAAAATCTACAGATCCAAGAGGGAACAAATATTGCCTTCACCATATAGGCTTAAGGAAGGCAAATTTGGGACAGATAAAAGTAATTGTGTAGACTTCTGCTTCTGGCCAAGATGGAGTAATAGGAACCAGGTTTACCTTCCCACCTTAAACAACTAAAAGCCTGGATAGAATATATGAAACAAGTAAAACAATTTTTTTTCTCAAGAAAAGTGGTTAATTTAGCTTGTGATTCAATCACACAAGAACTCTTCTTTGAGATAATCATTGTTCTTCAGTCTGCAGCGTAAGTTTTTATGTCTACCTCTCATTTAGTCTCACAGAATATTAAAAAGATAAGTACTCCTGCAATGGAATCGTTGGAGTGATGGATATGTTCATTACCTTGATTGTGGTGATGGTTTCATGGATACACACACACATCACATTGTACACTTTAAATATGTGCAGTTTGATCCTTTGCTTTGATGCATGTTAAGGCACTAGCAGTTTTACTCACCATTTACTTTGCACCAGCGGTGTAAATGTGAACACAGTGAGGGAAGATTGCATCCAGTTGGACTATTTGGCATTAGCAGGTGAAGTTAGCGTACTGTTTTTGTTTAAATTAAACTACATTAACTAACTGCTACCTTCATTTATGTCTTTGATAATGTTTCTGTTCATTTCTGTCTGATAAAATCTGCTGCAGTCATTTTTTAACTTGAAAGATCCACATACCATTACCTTGTTCCACATTTGAAAGACTGGTCAGCTTGTGTGGAGTAACTTGTCAAGAATACAGCATTCTAGCAGGTGGGCAACATCTTATATAGGCCAAAACCTAACTCAGTGCCTTCCATATGATAAGCAAAGCTGTGTGTTGCACAACTTCAGTAGTTACTCTTGGCTTTATGGCCGTCCGGGTGTCTTCCTCCTGTAGACTAAATGTGATCAGTGCTGCGTGGAGTGTTGTGGTGTAGTGGGCGGTGTAGAAATCAGTGGGCAGGGAATGACCAATGAGACAGTAGTTACACCTACGAAGAGTGGAAGTCGTGGTACAACTTGCTCTATTTTGCTGCCCCTTTCAGTACCTTCCAGTTTGCTCTGTATATAATTCTCAAGCTGCAGATACTCTCTACAATCTGGGAAAAGGCCTTCTGAATTGGTAGAGGAATTAGAATGTTACCTTGCTATATTTTTTACAGGAAAAAATTTTGGGGGTCTTAAGCGTGGCCAATTTATATAATAGATGTTCTTGCAACTATTTCATGGATATTTAATAAAGGTCTAGGCTAGAATTGTGTGATTTTAATAGATTTTTATGATTATAAGGGCAGATTCATTATAGAAAATTTAGAAATTATGAAGATGAAAGTTAAAATCAATAATCTCAACACGCAGCATTTCAAAAACTTTTATTTAGTCTTTTTTTTTTTTCTGTGTATGGGAAGAGAAAAGGGATGTGGGTGAGTACTATTGAATCTTCTGTCTTAATAAATTAAATATTTTCCTGTTATTCTGAACATTAGTGGACATTCTAATTGAATGTATAACTATCCTACAATATAACCACTCACTAATTTAATTAATTATAGCTCCAGTTTGGTTATTTAGCTTTTTCTAGCTTTTAGTTATTTCACGTTTTGTCTAGTCCAGATGTTAAGCCATTTTTTTCCTGCCCTCCAGCTTACTGTGTATATAATTCTCAAGCTGCACATACTCTCTACAGTCTGGAAAAAGGTCTTCTGAATTGGTAGAGGCCTACTCTTTATAGCTTTTGTGTGTCTTTGCTGGGTAACTGCTTTGGTATGTATTCTGATGTGTCTTATGTTCTCAGTGTGGCCAACCCAGTCCACCAGAACTGCTGCGAATATGGTTTCTGTGACTAGAGAGAATGCAGTCCCAAAATCCTATTGTTGGAGATGTTTCTTTTATTCTTTTTTTTTTTTTAAAGATTGGCACCTGAGCTAACATCTGTTGCCAATCTTTTTTTGTTTCTTCTCTTCTCCCCAAAGTCCCCCCAGTATAGAGTTATATATTCCGGCTGTGAGTGCCTCTGGTTGTGCTACATGGGCCGCTGCCTCAGCATGGCCTGACAAGCGGTGCTACGTCTGCGACCAGGATCTGAACCTGTGAAACCCTGGGCCGCCAACGCGGAGTGCACGAACTTAACCACTTAGCCACGGGGCCGGCCCCTCTTTTATTCTTAATCAAAGTTGAAAATAAATTTCATTCCAAATCTCTAAATTTAGAGAAATATATAAATGTTCCCTGTTGATTGAAAATCTTCACCTTACTTCCATCATTAAGACTTAATACTTTTATTTATTGGTTGTGAGAGAGGCAGAATCTTAGGTACCAATTGTTGAGAGCACTTGGAATTGAAAACTTTGGGGTGAATTGTACTCAGCATTTAGTCATTCTAAAATCCTATAGGTTTGATTAAAAATGAAAAGTAGTACTTTTATAATTTCATAAATAAATCTGTTTTGCTGCAGTATTCAAACACAGAGAAGTAGGATGAAACTAATCTGTAAGTAGTTCAGGCATTGCCGATTATAATAAATATGGAAACCATTTTAATTCCAAAGTGTGTTTTGGATGTAGAAAAAAGTAAATAAATTTGACTTTAGGTTTGGTGTGAAACAGTTAAAAAGAGATTTAAAGTAAAAGTTTATTCATTTGACAGACATTTATTTAGTGTTTACTGTGTTCCAGGCAGTTTTAAGTACTGAGAACTTTTGAATGAGAAAGCAATATAAAGGTTAACCAGAATGTTACTGTTTATGTAATTTTCCCAAAATGTTACCATCATTGGTCCTGACACTAACAATTTGGTTCATAACACTTCCCCAGAGCGTGCTCGGAAATATATTTAGAGAGATGTGAAACTCTCTCCTTAGTGGTCTGTTTCTGTTTCCTGCAGAGATCTAAGGAAGTTGTAAACACTGGGGCTATTCCTAATACTAAAATACAAGCCATCAACCGGGGACTTAAAAGAAAAAGAAAACTTGGTAAGCTCTTTCTTCATATGCGCTTAGCATTCTTCGGTCATGTTTTTCACCTTCATGATTTGGGGATGTGGAATGGAATTTTAAATAGATTCTAGAGAAGCTGCCAAAATTTAACTAGATAATCCAAAATGGAATTAAGGTGGGTAATTATTGATGGTAAGATTGGAAGCAGATGTCTTAAAGCAGGGCCTTTTTTTATCCTGCTTGTCAACAATGAGTTGCTTTTCCAGGGGAGCAACTGTTATACAAAAAATAATAATAGCAAAGGGAGCATATTTCTTTTTATCTCTTGGCGTATGTTTTTCTGTTCTTTATCTATTGTCTATTATGAGTGTGAGTTTCTGTGCTTTTAAAGAAAAATGTTCATTTTCTGAAATGATTCAACTATGAAATTGTCAGGTTAAGCAGGTTAAGCATGATATTCAACTTTCAGAAATCCATTTTTCACATTTGATTTTGAACACACCCTTTTAAACTATGGAAGATTATTTTCCCTTAAAATAATCTCAGCATGGGTGTGCTTTGAAATGGAATCTATTTCATAATGCAGTGAGTACATGTAGTTAGCCATTGTAGAGAAGAGTCTGAGGTAAAGTCTAACTGATGCTTTTTATTTTTGTGTCTAATTACCTAGGGCCAGATTCTCAGGTTTGAAACCAGGCTAATGATAGTAGTGTAATCTTCTACCTGAGGTAGCTTTAAGGATACACACACATGAAATATATTATGTTTGTATAAATGTTAATGAGATATCTGTGTGAAATACATTGACGATCCTAGATGAATAAGAGAGAGAATGCCTAAATGCTAAGCTGTGTTCCTGTTTAACCTTTACAATGACTATTTTTATTAGGCTAAAACTTCATTAATTTCAATTAGATTTTATCAGAGTAAAACCTGATTAATTTGGACTTTACCTATCTAAATAATTAAAATGTATAGTTTAAACTTAAATTGCTGAGGGAACTTCAGATGCTTCAAATTAGATGTCAAGTGTCTTATATTCAACCTCTTTATCCTTAGTTTCTACATCTGTAAAATGAGCATGTTAATAGCATTTGTCATATAAAATAGGAACCTAGACTCAGAATTTAAAATGTGGCTATCAGTTTGTAAGAAGAATGTGCAAGAAGAGACAGCATGTCTATGTAGCTTGCAGAGCTTCAACTCCCTTAACTTGGGAATGCATCAAAATTACAGGCTGTCTGTTTTACCCTGTACAACCCGGAGACCCTTTCCAGAAATTGAGTTAGTCAGCGGGTGTGGAGAGACCTGTGACACTGAGGTGAAGGAGGGGAGTAGGAGTCCTGTGACGTATGCAGGGGAAAGGGGATCTTGGAGTCATAGTAACAGACTTCAGAAGCTGTGTGTAGAAAGCGCTGACAGCATACTTTTCAGAGTTACAGTATTTGTCCAGCAGGGAGGGGTGAAACAAAGGTCTTAACAGATTTTAACTTTTTTTTTAACTGGTAATAATATTTAAACATGCAGCTCTGTCAACTGGAGTGGTAGATTTCTTCACAATCTCTTAGGATTGTTTTGAGGATTGAAGATAATAACCTACTTAAGATAGCTTGCACACACCTGGTACCTAGGCAGAGCTTAATAAGTCTTAGTTTCCTTGCTTTCAGTTTCTCCCTGTAGCCTAGAACCGTTTCCAGAAAAGCAGAATGCCCTTGAACAGTTTATTCACTTTGTTCTTATTGGGCTTTCCTGCACTCCTGGACCATCACATCTTGGCTTTTGTTCATTCGTTCTCCAAATACTCCTTGTTCCCTTTCTTTGTGAGTTGGAACTCACAAAGGGGTGGTAGAAGCAGTGGTTGAGTACTGAGCATCCTTTCATTTAGGATTCTGCTGCGCATTGTCCACTACGGTATACATTTTTAAAACTTACTTTTTTTTTTTAACATGGTGGCTATTAATTTTCCTGCCTTTTACATTAATATTTCAGAAAAACTGTAGATAGTTTTAAATATTTAAATTCTGATAAATTATAAAAATTATGTTTAGCTTTAGCATTTGTGTGTAAATTTGCCAGATTTGTATGTTTGAATGGAAACCCTGTTCAGGGGTATACAAAAAAATTGCAGTTGCAATGTGTAAAACACAATTGTCACTATTTAGTAGCATTACTGTTAGTAAATTAGGAATACAAATGTCTGAAACATGTTGTATGTCATTTAGAGAAAGGTTGGGATTGGTATGTGTGCGAAGGTTTTCAGCACATACTCTATCAACAAGCAGAAGCCTTAAAGACCCTCGGAGTAGGCCCAGAGTTAAAGGTAAGTCCATTTGTGGCTAGATGTTAGCTTTACATTTTGTTGTTTGAAGAACAATAGATTTAAAGTGAAACTAAGGAGAATAGTAGGGTTATCAGTAATAACGTTAGGGATACTAGAAGAATCATTTTTCTGATGTTTTTGCTTTAATCCTTTGCCTCTTTAATCCTTTAATCCTCTGGTCTAGTAAGACCAGAAATTCCCGAAGTGTGTTCTACTGAATGTAGATAAGCAGTGCATCCAAAAGAAAATAGTAAAAGTTTTAGTCTTCAGATATTTAGGAAACATTGGGTTAAACAAAGTAGAACAAGCAACTTTGCAGACTTAAATTGGTGCCTTTTATGTGTTAATGTGCTTGTTTAATTTCCAAGGGAATGTAGTATGTAGTATTCACAATTTGAGAACACAATCCTTTGATGTGTGTATGTTTGTGGATCATCCATCAGGACTTGGTTTCCACAGAACGCACTTTGGGGAGTGCTACGTTAAATCGGAGGTGCTCAGGCTTGATTGTGCATCAGAATCACGTGGAGGACTGCTCAAGCACAGATTGCTGGACCGCACTCCAGGGTTCTGACTAAGTAGATCTGGAGTAGGGCCCAAGAATTTGCCTTTCTAACAAGTTCCCAGGTGACACTGATGCTGCTGGTCCAGGAATCACACTTTGACTTTGCTGCCTCTCAGGAGTACCCATGGTATCCCTGCTATTATTTGAGTTTCATATTCCCTCATCTGGTTGAAGCCATTTCAGGAATTTTTTTAAAAGCCAGTTATTTAGCAACAAGTGGTTACTGTACACTTGCTTCATGCCCATCATTGGAAACAAAGTGCTCAGAGATCTAGCCTAGCTGGAGAGAGGGTTTTGTGCATCTGTGGAATGAGTAAACACAAAATTATGTAATGATATGCTCATAGATAACAGTAAGGGCAAAGAGAAGAGAGAAAGATCAGTGTTTACTGAAGTCACCAAGAACAGGGAGATTTGTAGAGGAGTCTTTGCTATTCACACCAGAATCTAGGGCAAACCAAAACACAATGCCCTCTGGACCAACCCATGGCCTAAATGGACTCTGAGGCTACCCTGAAAGTATTATAGGAATTAAAAATCCAAAAACATGAGACAAGAGAGGCTTACCCATGGCAATTCTTGCATTAGGTATGATTGCTGGTAGTCTAGGGCTTTGTGAATCTGGTTTCTCCCTGCATAGTCATCCTAGGTATAAGAGTTTTTAAATAAATAGTTTGATATAGTTACACTGAATAGCTTCAGTAGGGTTTACTCCTATATAGCCTTCTACCCCCTTCATTGGGGTTAATCCTGAAAAGAGTTTCTCTGAAATTAGCCAATGAGCCTAACCACTTAGACCTCCCCAGGTCATGGTGCTAGAGCGGCATTATGCTAAGAACACAGGCTCCAGAACCAGAACTGACTCCAAGTCCTATTCATACCTTTTCTGCTTACTGGCTAGGTCATTTTGGCCAGGTTACTCAGTTTCTTCAGTGATAAAATAGAGATGAAAGCTATCTTGCAGTATTGTGTTAGAGCTAACGGATGCCTTGTACCTAGAAGGTGATGAATAAATGGAAAAGTAGTTCTGTCTTGTTTTGTTCGTTTTGTTTTACTTTCACTTGGACCCCAGGGGCCAGTAGATTGCTAGACTCGATAGCAGCTTTTCCCCTAACTGGAAGTGTAGTCATGTGTAAATTCCTTTCTTTCTCTGATACTTAATTCACTTGCAAAAGGTAGGGATTCACCTAGGTGATCTTTAAGGAACTAGTCCCTTCCTTTTCTAAAATCTAAGATTAAGAAGAATTTATTTAGTTTTTCCCATATACCTGATATTGTGATGTAATTCTTTTTATGGAAAAGTAAGTAATAAAACATTTAGTAGAAGACAATGTGTAAAGTACAAGAGATTCTGTGGTATAAATGTGCCTGTATATTTGCCATCGTAACCTGAATTGCCACTCATTTCCCTTTCACCTTAGAATGAAGTTTTACATAATTTTTGGAAGCGCTACCTTCAGAAGAGCAAGCAGGCTTATTGTAAAAATCCAGTTTATACCAGTAAAAGGAAAGCTCCGGTAAGGCACAGTCTGAAAAGTGAGACTAAAAGACATTTCTATTGAGAGCAGAGGTGAAGATGAGATTCAGCCTCACCTGGGTTTATGATGCTTGTCAGAGGACCTTCAGTGAAGAGATTTCTATTATAGTCCAGGAAGACAGGGTCACTGATCCTGACATTGGAATTAATTTTGACTTCTTATTTGACTAGTTGAAATGTAAAGAAATTTGTGGTTAAGTTTCTAAATGGAAGCTTAAGTAATTTCTGTCATTGTACTATTAAAAATTTTTTTTGCATATGTTACTCCTTTAGTTTGTAATACCTACTTACTTTACCTGGCATCTCAGATTCATCTCAGTTATCATCTCTTTTCAGAAGCCTTTATGTAAAGAAAAATAAGTCTGGGTGCCTTACCACCCTCCCCCAACATCCACCAGAGCAGCTGTATTTTTAGCAGTTTGCTTTTAACTGCTTTGTAAATATGCCGTGGAACAGTTTATTTGGGGTAGCAGAGGATTCCACTGCTAAGAAAGGCAAATTTGATAAACTTTGATGTGTGGTATTTATTTTCCAGGCCTGAGAAGAGATTCTGAATCTATTTGACACACATTTGTTAAGAGCTTAGAAACTTGGCCCAGTGTTTCACTGTTTGGTTGGGGTCTCATAGGTTCCACATGCAGAGTTTAGTGACCCAGGACTGAGAAACCCAGCTCTGAGTGAAAGGAATAGGTCTAAGAATGAGAAGTTTAGACTAGTCAAGTTGTGCAAGATACAATGATAAAAGGGGGAATAACCTAAGGAATTAGTTTGGAAAATGTCCTTTTTAAATATGAGATAATGAATTTAAGTAAACTTGAGAAATAACATGAATTTAAATAAACTCGAGAAATAACTTGAATTTAGTGGAAAATACAACTCTTTTTTTTTATTATTGAGGTCATATTAGTTTATAACATTGTGTAATTTCAGGTGTGCATTATTATATATCAGTTTCTGTATAGACTGCATCATGCTCACCGCCAATAATCTAGTTTTTGTCCATCACCATACATATGTGGCTCTTTATCCTTTCACCCACCTCCCTACTCCCTTCCCTTCTGGTAACCACTAATCTGTTCTTTTTATGCATGTGTTTATTATCTTCCACATATGAGTGAAATCATAGGGTGTTTGTCTTTCTCTATCTGGCTTATATGGCTTAACATAATACCCTCAAGGTCCATCCACGTTGTTGCATATGGGATGATTTTGTCTTTTTTATGGCTGAGTAGTATTCCATTGTGTGTGTGTGTGTGTGTGTGTGTGTGTGTGTATGTGTATGTGTATATATGCGTGTGTGTGTATGTATACCACATCTTTATCCATTCATCAGTTGATGGGCACTTGGTTGCTTCCACATCTTGGCTATTGTGAATAATGCTGCAGTGAACATAGGGGTGCATAAATCTCTTTGTATTGGTGATTTCATGTTCTTTGGATAAATACCCAGTAGTGGGATGGCTGGATCATATGGTAGTTCTATTTTTAAGTTTTTGAGAAATCTCCATACTGTTTTCCATAGTGGTTGCACCAGTTTGCATTCCCACCAGCAGTGTATGAGGGTTCCCTTTTCTCCATATCCTGTCCAACATTTGTTGTTTTTTGTCTTGGTAGTTATAGCCGTTCTCACAGGTGTAAGGTGATAGCTCGTTGTAGTTTTGATTTCTATTTCCCTAATAATTAGTGATGTTGAACATTTTTTCATGTGTCTGTTGGCCATCTGTATATCTTTGGAAAAATGTCTGTTCATATCCTCTGTCCAGTTTTTGATCAGGTTATTTGTTTTTTTGTTGTTGAGTTTTATGAGTTCTTTATATATTTTGGAAATTAACTCCTTGTTGGCCATATGATTTGCAAATATTTTCTCCCAGTTGGTGGGTTGTCTTTTTGCTTTGATGGTTTCCTTTGCCTTGCAGAAGCTTTTTAGTCCGATGTAGTCCCATTTGTTTATTTTTTCTTTTGTTTCTCTTGCCAGTAGACATGGTATTCGAAAAGATGCTGCTAAGACTGATATTGAAGTGTGTGCTGCCTATATTTTCTTCTAGGAGTTTTATGGTTTCAGGTCTTACGTTCAAGTATTTAATCACTTTTGAGTTAATTTTTGTGTATGGTGTAAGATAATGCAGACAACATTTTATAACCGTAGAATTATGAAACATTATCCTATTTTGATTCAGGGGGCAGGTACTTCTCAAGAAAAGCAAAAGATGCTGTATAGTTCTAAGGTGACACTTTGAAAAAGAAGAGAAAGAATTATCCAAAATATTAAGAGCTTAATGTTTAAAATTACATAGCTAAGGTATTTGTTGGTTATGTTTATGCACTGGGGCTTTGCCTAACAGAAATTTAAAATCGGAACCTGGGATTCTCTCTGAATTTTAATATTTTTAGGTTAACTTCATATAATAAAAGAGGCTTTGTTGACTTGAGTAAACACCTGTTTAAAGTAAGGTAGGCATTACACTAAAATCTTCTTGGTGAATAAATAAACAATAAGCAAAATTTTAAGCTGGTATATAAATTGGTAATATAATTTCTATCAAAAGAGTACAGCTGAACTCTTTTGAAAGGTAAAACAAACAATTATTTTAAATTGGAAGCTTAGTCTTCTCACATATTCAGTAAATTTTTTGTGTGCTTTGGGTAGAACTGTTCCAGGAATAGTAAGAGGCCTGCATCTGAATCCTGGCTCCACTGCTTTTGACTTGTGTAATCTTGGGTGAAATAAATTACTTAAAACTTCCAGGAGAAGCAAGCAGACAAGCAAGTATGTAGATCTGGGTAAGAAGGATAGAAAACGAGAAGGCAGGGAAGGGTGCTGTTTGATATGGAGTGGCCAGGGAAGACCTCTGAGGAGCAGCCTTAAGGAAGAGAGAAAGTAAGCCATGAGGATATCTGGGGGAAGACATGCAGACTGTCAGGCCTCACCCAGACCTACTGAAACAGATTACACATTTTGACAGAGCTCCTAGGTGCTTCCTGTGCACACTGAAGTTGGAGAAGCACACCTCTAGAGGAGAAATGGCTGGGACCAGGTGGTAGGAATGGAAATACGTGGTAGGATTCTAGATAAACTTTAGAGAGAGCCTGCAGAATTTCCTGATGGGTTGGCCATGGGGTGTGAGAGAAAGAGCGGAACCAAGGATGGCTCTTAAGGTTTTTGCCCTGAGCAGCTAGAAGAAAGGAGTTGCCATTGGCTGAAATAACAGGTGGGGCAGGAAGATCGATAGGTCAGTTTTGGACATGTTAAGTTTAAGACGACTGTTAGATATCCAAGAGGAAATCTCAGATACTCAGATATACAAGTCTTCAGTTCAGGAGTGAGGTCCAGCCTAGAGATATAAATTTGGAAGCTGTCAGCTTACACTATAATCGTGAAATCTAAAATGGCATTATCTGTAAGATGCACTGTTATTTTAAATACTCCCAAGAAAGAAAATAATGCTGCAAATTAAATTATGACATGCCACTATTTGTAAGATATATCCTGATTTCAGGGATGTTAAAATTTGAGGAGCGGGGTGCCGGCCCTGTGGCCGAGTGGTTAAAGTTCCATGTGCTCCACTCAGTGACCTGGGTTCACGAGTTTGGATCCTGGGCGTGGACCTACTCCACTCATCAGCCATGCCTTGGTGGCATCCCACATACAAAATAAAGGAAGATTGGCACAGATGTTAGCTCAGGGCTAATCTTCCTCAAGCAAAAAAGAAAAAAAGAACAGAGAAGGATTGGCAGTGGATTTTAGCTCAGGGCAAATCTTCCTTACCAAAAAAAAATTGAGGGAGGGGGGAGTGCATTTCAGAATTGAATACTGGTAGATAGTATTTAAAACCACAAAACCAGATGACATCACCCAGGAGTGAAGAGAGAGAAGGACCAAGAACTGAGCTGTGAGTCACTCTAGAGTTAAGATGTCTGGGATAAAAGAGGAACCAGCCAAGAAGTATGAGGAGCAACTCGTGAAGTAGGAGAAAGCCAAGAAAGTGAGGGGGTCATTCTGGAAATGAGGGAACAGAAAGTTTTAAGAAGAGGGAAATGATCAACTGTGAGAAATTCTGCTGCCTAGCCAGGAAGGAAGAGGGCTAAAAATTGAGGGCAGCAGTGGGATCAAAAGTTTGGGGCCAGCCCGGTGGCGCAGCGGTTAAGTGTGCACCGTCCGCTTCTCGGCGGCCCGGGGTTCGCCAGTTTGGATCCCGGGTGCGGACATGGCACCACTTGGCAATCCATGCTGTGGTAGGCGTCCCACGTACAAAGTAGAGGAAGATGGGTGTGATGTTAGCTCAGGGCCAGTCTTCCTCAGCAAAAAGAGGAGGCTTGGCAGATGTTAGCTCAGGGCTAGTCTTCTTCCAAAAAAAAAAATTTGATTGGAGGGGCTGGCCCCGTGGCACAGTGGTTAAGTTCGAGCACTCTGCTGCGGCAGCCCAGGGTCGCCTGTTCAGATTCTGGGTGCGGACATGGCACCGCTCCTCAGGCCATGGTGAGGCGGCATGCCACATGCCACAGCTAGAAGGACCCACAACTAAAAAAAAAATACGCAACTATGTACTGAGGGGTTTTGGGGAGAAAGAGGAAAAATAAAATCTTTAAAAAAAAAATGTTTGATTGGAGTGGGATATAAGATAGAGAGGAGAGAATCCGAGACAGTAAGTCTGGACAAATCTTTCAAGGCATTTTGCTGCAAAGAAGTACAAAGAAATTGCGTTGTAGCTGTTGTCAAGGGCAGTTTTTTTTAAGCGGGATAAATGATAGCATATTTGTGTAGTGCTAGGAATGATCCAGGATAGAGAAGAAATTCTCACAGGAGAGAGGCAGTAGAAGTGAATGACAGTCTGAGTAGAGAGAGGAGTAGGATCAAGTGCACAAGGGAGAAACTGGCTTTAGCTGGGAGCTAGCATAGGCCACCAGAAGAACCAGCAGAGGCCAGGGGATGTGGTAGGCTTGCTGGCAGATGATTGCCTGTGAGAACCTGTGGAAGTTTGCTCCTGATTGCTTCAATTTTCTCAATGAGTCCATGCTTATCAGGCAGCTTGATGGTCTGTCTTGCCTCTCACATGCTTACCTATAGGCAGGGGATGTGCTTAACAGAGGACACACACATCTTATTCCATTCCCTGATTTTTTTGTTTCATTCTCGTGTGAGTGTCCTTAATATGAGTCTTAGCTCCTCGTAATAAGATCAAGTTGCTTGGCGTGCATGGCTGAGAGCATAGCTTTTTGACTGTGATCAGTTCCCCCAAGGTAATGTCAGCTAATGAGGCTTTATGGTAGCCAGCCAGCTGACCTTTCTTGGGGACACTCTACCATTTCAACAGTACATGTGCGAAAAATTAAACAATGATATATGAGATAGTATATCCTTGTCAATTACTTGTTATACGCAGTAAATGCCACAGGAGTTCAAGGAAATGAGAAATCACTGAAGAAGAGTCGATTGGAAAGGTGGCATGATAGAGTAAGTAATGAGTTGGAGAGAAGGAGGAAAAAGGACAGTTCAGGCAGGAGAGATGGAATTAGCGAAGATACAAAGCAAAAATTCCCCAGGTAGGCTTGGTAAGGAGAAGACAGCAGCGTGCGTGGAGTCATTATCGACACTTGATGCTTTTATAGGTGTAGATACTAGAGCTACAGGGAGGAGGCCTGAGGCCCCTGCTGGTAGCTGGTTTCCTCACTCACCCTTGTCTGTGGCCCTTCTCCGAGAAGCATTGCCAGGAGCGGCGGGGCACCTTGCGGAAGTCGGGGTCTTTCAGTCTTAGGGACGTGGTAGCTGGGTTCCTCACTCACCCTTGTCTGTGGCCCTTCTCCGAGAAGCATTGCCAGGAGCGGGGGCGCCTTGCGGAAGTCGGGGTCTTTCAGTCTTAGGGACGTGGCAGACGGTCGTGGTTCTCTAGAGTGGTTCCTTTGTGGTGTTTGCAGTGGTCAGGAATGTTTTAAGTTCATGGACATTAATTGCACTTCTTTCACTTCTTTTTTGTTAAATTCTTTATTTCCCTGATCCCCTTTCATCTTTCCTAGTTTACTCCCTCATTTTTGTGGAGCATCTTTTCTTACATTGCTTAGGATATTAATGTTATTTCCCCTCTGATTTGATTGCTTTGGCCTCTGTTTTTTATATTAGATGCTTTCTTCAAATGTTTAATGAGCCTAAGATGGCTAGTCCTGTTTAAGAATGGAGACTAAAAAGTTGATTGAAACTTTATTGCATTTTAAATTCCTATGCAATAATTTTATTTGTTATTTTGCAAATAGGTATTAGAAGATAATCCAAGTCATTCAGACTGGGATAGTGAACCTGAGCTGCTAAGTGACTTTAGCTGTCCTTCTTTTGTTGAAAGTGGAGCAGAGTCTCAGCCTGATGTCCACACTCAAAAACCTTTCCCCATCATCAAAGCATCACAATCAGGTAAAAATGAGACTCAAACTACCTAGAATTTTAAAGCTGGTAATACATCTTAAAAATAATTTGGTCCAGTCTCTTCATATTCCAAGGAAAGGAACTTGGCCTAGCAAGAAGAATGACTTGCTGAATCATATGGCTGGGAGAAAGGCAAATCAAATGAAATCTTAGTGTAATTTCTGAAAAGGTGCCTTGTCTCCACACGAGTATTTTTGTGTGATTTTTTTAAAGGAAGCTAAATGGTAAGTGCATCCGGAAAGAAAAGGAGGCTGGTTCAATAAAGATCTTATGTATGTGTGGGCCCAGGATTTTCAAAGAAAAGTTGCAGCAGAGAAATGATAGAACTAAGCCGTATGGTAAGGCAGACGAGAGTCAAAGATATACCGAATCTAAGCACAGACTAAAGCAGGCTGCATGAAACTTACCATATTGTGTGTGTGTGTGTGTCTGCATCTTATTTGCTGATTTAATCCCGTAGTTTAAAATAAATACGGAGTGTCTCTAAGGTTAAAGTTATAGACCCTCTCCTCAAAGCACTTATTCATGATTTTAGTTGTTTCCACACTACATTTTTTTTTTTTTAAAAAAAAAACAGTGGAAAACAGACCTGAAAGAACAGACCAGGGTTTTGTTATAGATTACTAGACTCTTAATGTGTGCTGATAGAGTTTTTTGAGAGAGAGCTTCCAACCCCTCTGGTGTTAGGGATTGTTGAAATCTGGGTTAAGTGTGGTTATGTAAAACTTTCAACAAAACGTTTCCTGTATGGGCTGCTTCTTTGCAAGCCCCTTGCCCTCCAAAGATTAAAAATTATTTTTATCAGCATATCCGCATTTCTTGCTGGTCTGCACAGTGACACAGATATCAGATAAGTTATTTTAATGTCCAAAGAAGTAAAGAAGTTAGAACCATAATCGGGCAGCAATGAATCTCTGGAGTTTTCTTCCCCATGCTTTCAGGCAAGGCTGAACTCAAACAGCCCCAGAGGACTGTGACTCTGAAACCATCCAAACCTTTTAAAACGTCATGATTGTTTGCCTGTGTTAAGGGTTTTTGTTTGTGTGTGTGTTTTTTAGTAAATGATGATCCTCAGAGCTTTCTTTTAGTTTATCATTAAAAGTAACCATTAAGGGGGCTGGCCCCGCGGCCGAGTGGTTAAGTTTGCGCACTCCGCTTCGGCGGCCCAGGGTTTCGCTGGTTCAAATCCTGGGTGTAGACATGGCACCGCTCATTAGGTCATGCTGAGGCGGCGTCCCACATGCCACAACTAGAAGGACCCACAACTAAAAACCTACAACTATGTACTGGGAGGCTTTGGGGAAAAAAAAGGAAAAATAAAATGTTAAAAAAAAGTAACTATTAATACAACTCTTATTACAAAAGTGAAAAATGCAGCTATTCAGAAAGAAAATAAAATTCCCAGTTATTCCCAATACCACCTAGAAATAACCATTATTGCTGTAGTAGATCATTCTAGAAAGTTTTCTATTCTTATAGAGAAAAAGGGAGTTTTGTTTTTGCAAAAATGTGAACTATTTCTTCATTCTTTGAATTTTTGAATCAAAATTCTACATGCATGTAATTCAAGTAGATTATAAGGCTTGTTATAAAAAACTGTAAAAATAAATTGTAGTCCACTGTCTCCTCTAAATGTCCTGTTCCCAAGAGGCATTCACTTTTCACTCTTTCGCAACCTCCGTGTCTCTGTCATGTGCTTCCAGTGCTGCATCTTGATTTCCGGTTTTGCACATTAGCTCTTCAGTCCTGCTGTGGAAGGTGAAGTCTTCTTACTGCCCCTCCTCCCCACGTAGTCACCAGCACACAACTGTGCATTTCCCGTTCTCTATCTTCCCAATATAATTATAATTTTTTACTAGATCGATATTTAATGCTTAAATTGTTATAAATGTTATTCAGAACTGAGCCACGTAGCTTAATCTGATCACTCTTGTTGTGTATCCTTTGGTTTTCTCAGTGTTGATAACTGCCCTGTTACTTAATTTCCTATTTATTACTAACCTATAATTTATTACTATTGGGTCTCCACACTTCCTTCCACTTCTGAAAATCTCTCAATTCCTTAGATGTTCTATCAATTTCACCTTCCAGAAGAAGTCTTTCTGGAGCTCCTGAGCTGCTGTGATCTAGAATGATTTGTCTCTAGACCTGGATCCCAGCTGTCTTTGTGATCTCTACCACTGTCCTGACGAGTCTTTCACTTCTTTTTTGTTAAATTCTTTATTTCCCTGATCCCGTTTCATCTTTCCTAGTTTACTCCCTCATTTTTGTGGAGCATCTTTTCTTACATTGCTAAGGATATTAATGTTATTTCCCCCCTGATTTGATTGTTTTGGCCTCTGTTTTTATGTTAGAGGCTTTCTTCAAATGTTTAATGAGCCTAAGATGGCTAGTCCTGTTTAGGAATGGAGACTAAAAAGTTGATTGAAAGCTGTGTACTCGTGGTGCGTCTTGTCAGCTCCATTCTGCACAAGAGGGTGACGCAGCTGGGTTATTTTCTTAGTGAACCTCCAGTATTATTGTCTTTAAATCTTTTCCCCCTGAGCTGATCAGATTTTCCAGAGAAATCTCTGTGAGTCTTCTATTTGGAGGGTGTAATCCTGTCTGTTCTAGAAACTGGGTGGGAAGAAGAAGGGCCAAGGGCAGTGGGGGATTGTCTGAATACTCATATGTAAACTTTCACTTAATCCTCCTGTTTTCAGTAAGCTGCCCCTCCTGTCAAATGTGATTGACACACGCCCTATGCTAGAGACTGTTTTACTCTTTCTAGATGAGAAACTTGCAATTTTCTACCGGGGTTGGGAGGGGCAGTCATCTGGCTGCGTGGAGTTGGCTAAGAACCTGAGTGTCTTAACTGCTTCTTAATCAGACTTTCAAGCAGTCCTCCTGGCGTTAACTCTACCTTTACCCAATTTCCAGGGGTACCTGTTTAACCAATTCCTGAGCCTTCTTTAGGGGTCCCTAGGGGAAAATTAGATTGGTTTTTGGCTTTTCTTACTGCTGGCTTTGAATCTAGCTTTCTTGGGACTGCTAAGGTAGTGATCACTTATTCATATGCTTTCTGGCTTTTAAAATTTTATTGCTGTTTTTCCTTTTCCATGTTATTTGTTCTTGAGTTTATAACTTTTAAAAATTCCTTTATAACTGTTGTAGTGGGACAGAGCAGAAGCTAATATATGTTTTCAACCTGCCCTCTTACTGGAAGTTCCTACATGTTGTCTTATGTATATATTTTTTAGCATAATATTTTATGGAAATCCATGTCCTTATATATACATATATATATATTTTTTAAAGATTGGCACTTGAGCTAACAACTGTTGCCAATCTTCTTTTTTTTTCTGCTTTTTCTCCCCAAATCCCCCCAGTACGTAGTTGTATATTTTAGTTGTGGATCCCTCTAGTTGTGGCATGTGGGACACTGCCTCAGCGTGGCCTGACGAGTGGTGCCATGTCCGCGCCCAGGATCCGAACCAACGAAACTCTGGGCCATCGAAGCAGAGCCCATGAACTTAACCACTCAGCCACGGGGCCAGCCCCCATATAGTCTTTTAAAACAGTAGCCATCAAACTTTAGCATCCGTCACAATCACCTGGAGGGCTTATTAGAACACAGATTGGTGGGCTCAATAATTTGCATCTCTGATAAGTTCTCAGGTGATGCTAACACAGCTGGTCCATGGACTATACTTCGAGAACCACTGATCTACAGCATTGTGTAAATTGTTATGTAGAATTCCATTGCATGGAGTTATTTAATTAAGTTTCTATTCCTGTCACTTAGGTTGTTTTAACATTTTTTCATATTATAAGCATTGCTGCCACAACATGCCTTGACTCTGAATCTTTGCATATTTTTAAAACCATTTCACTAGGATGAAATCTTAGAAGTAGAACTGCTAGACCATTTGTCACCAAATATTTATGGATTTCGACTCCTTGCCAGCACCTGTTCTGGGCACTGAGGACGCAGTGGTGAACAAGGCTGTCTGCCTTCAAGGTGCTTAGATTGTAGTGGGAGGAGCTAGACAATAAATGCACACATAAAAAGGAAAAGGTCAGTTACTGATAAATGCTATGAAGAAAAGATTTGCAGGATTTGGAAAAAGGGATTTTGAGGCATAATTTGGGGAGTTTTTGTCCAAGAAAGCTTGGAGTCTCTCAGGGTCATTCCTAGTCCTGCTTTCTATTTACCCTCACTTCTGGCTTTAAACACCAGCTGTGTCCTGATGACTCTAAAATTCCCATCTCCAGCCTAGCCTCTCCTCTGAACTATAAATTTTTGTATTCAACTGCCTACTCAATATTTCCATTTGTGTATTTAATAAGATCTTACACTTAATATATGCAATTCTGATATCTTGATTTATCTTGTCCAACCTACTCTATGTCATCTTCCTTGACTCAGTAAATGGCATTTTCATTCTTGTTGCTCCGGCCAAAAACCTTAGAATCATACTTCTCTTTTTCTCTCATACTTCACGTCCAATCTAGCAGCAGATCCTTTGACTCTGCCTTCAGAATATGTCCAGAACCCAGCCACTTCTCCCTGCAGTGCTGCCACTCCAGTCCCGGTGCCTGTCATCGCTCTCCTGGAATGGTGGTCTTCTGTGTCCACTGTTACCCTCCTAGAACTCCATTCGTCACTGCAGCCAAAGAGACCTTTTTAGAAACGTAAATGAGATCCTGTTGCTCCTCTGTTTAAAACTCTCCAGAAACTTCTTATCACACTTAGAATAAAATCCAATGTACAATCAGGAGCTACAAAGCCCTGCATAATATGGTTTCTTATTCTCTCTCCTGTGTCATCTCCTACCATTTTCCCTTCACCCAGGATGCTCTCACCACACTGGCTTTCTTACTGTCCTTCAAGTTCACTCTTGCTGAGGCACTTGCTGTTCTTTCTGAGATCCTCTGGACTTACTCTCTGAATTCATTCTGGTCTCTGCTCAGATATCACCTTCCCAAAGAGGCTTCTCTGACCACCCATATCAAATAGTACATGTCTCTCCCCTTCCCATCACTTTGCCCTACATTGCGATTTTTCTATGTAGCAACTACCACACTGTCCATCAGTTGTAATTTTGTGTATTGGCTGTCCCCCATTACTGGAATATAAGTTCTGAGAGAGATGACACACTGTTCACTGTCCGTTCCCCAGACCTAGAACAGTGGCATCAAGAATGAGATGAATACCTGCTGAATGAGTGAGGAGAAGATAATGCCCTGTAGAGGATGTCTGGAGGGTGGGGGTGGGAGGAGGCACTGCCCTGGTTAGTGTTCTGGAGAGCCTCTCAGAGAAGGAGACATGTGAGTTGAGGCCTGGGTCAAAGGGGTTACACATGTTTTGGTTTGCTTTGTAATTGTTTATCCTTTTATTTATTTGAAAAATTTTTCTTATTTACTATTAAAAAAATTCAAGCAGGTTAAATCTCTCTTTAGAATCCCAGCCTATCTCACTTTCACAAGGAACCAGCAACTACCTTTTTGGCCGATTTCCTCTAAACCGTCCTTGCTCTTTATTGCCAAATTGCTCTTTGTAAAGATTATATCAATTTTAACCTGATTTGAAGATATTTAAAATGCCTCTGGATTTTTTGTTGTTTTTCTTTTTTTGTCCAAAGTAGTTACTTGCACTTTAAAAAATCTCCATTTATCCCCTAAGAAACGGCATCCATCTGTTCTGGATCGGTTGATGGAGTGGAGTATTCACTACGAAAGGAGAAAGGAATCGTGAAGATGACTGTACCGAGAACATTGGCTTTCTGCTGTCTGGCATTGCTTTGGCAGAGAGAGACAATTACTCTTTCAGATCTTTTGAGGTGAGCTGGGCCTCTTGTGTGATGATGCTTTTGCTGATTATCTCTGTGAATTAGGGGACAACCTTTGGATATTTTGCATTTTGCAAGGAGGCTTAAATTGAGGAAGGGACTGAAAAGATTGGGTAGCCTGAGTTCTAATTGTGAAATTTAATCCTCCCTGGACTAGTAATTTATCTCCTTGGTTTCCTTATTTATAGAGGGGAAATAATTGTATTTACCTGACACAGGGTGTTGGAAAGTTAATTATCTAATGTGAGTAAAATGCTTTGAAGATGAAAAATGACAGTTAATACCTGAGTAGTAGTAGTAGGTATTTTTCATTTCTAAGAGCAGATGAACAGATGATTTTTACATTGTCAGATGGTGGTTAATAGTTACACAAAAGCATATAGTGGTGTTAAGAAGTAAAATACAGGTTGTCTGTGTTTATAAGGAAAAATTGAAAACAAAATTGTTGGAAGAAGCTGTTATGCAGATAGTCAGCATATACATTTTCAAGATAATCTATAGAGTTTTATAGTTAATGAGTAAATTATGGCATTGTGTGTAAGAATTTCTCGTTTAATAGGAGATGGGCCAAAATCATTAATGTGTTAATTTTTCCCGTGCTTTATGTGTGTGCTAAATAATAACATTTGGATTTAATCAGTGTGTAGAGTGGTTTTATAAGAGCACAGATTTATAACCAGACTCCTGGGTTTGAATCCTGGCTCTGCCGCTTGTATGTTATGTGACCTTGAGTTAGTTAGTTAATTTCTCCTCTGTTTCCTCATTGGTAAAATGGAGCTAATAACTACTTTCAATAATTAGTACTACATGAAAAGCACTTAGAACAGTGCCTGGCACATAATAAAAACTGAATGCTAGTTATTATTGTTTTTTTCTTCATCATCATCATCATCATCATCATTATCATTATTGGCACTAGGCCCTTTGACTAAATAAAATGCCTCCAGTGACTGATGATAGTGCCTTTGAATTTGGCCACATCAACTGAATAACAAGGCTTTTCTCAGATGATTAACTCTACATGCAGATAGTCCATGATTCAATGAATTTTACTGTGAAGTTGAAAACCTCACCTGGCTCTGTCTGCCCTCGTTGGGTGATCTCATCTTCTCCCGAGGCTTTAATTACTATCTATATGATGATGACTCCCAAATTTATATCTCCAGCCCAGACTTGTCTACTGAGGGCCAGACCCATATCTTTATATATACAACTGCCTGCTGGATACTACTTGGATGTCTTTATGGTGTCTCAAAATTAGCATGACTAAAAGAGGTTCATCTTTCTCCTCGTCCAGCTCCTTCTCCAGTGTTTTCTCTCTTCGTAAATACCATGTACTCTCTTGCATCCTCTCCAGAAACCTAAGAATCATCCTTGCCTCTCTTCTCTCTACATATACAGTTAGTCTTTCTGTCCTATCAATTATACTTCCAAAATAACTCTTGAAACCCTTTTTCTTCCCATTCCTTCTGTCTCTATCTTGGGTTGCTTAACAGCCTCCCAGGTGAGCCCTATGCCTGCAGTCTTCTCCATTCCTATTCACTTGCCTCCTGATAACCAGAGGGATTATATAGAAACAGCCATCTAATCATGTCATTAGAGCTGGAGAAAGGGGCTAGCCATCCTACCCAGGGCGGTCTGTAAGGGATAACAAAACTCTCCTAGAAATCTAGCAAGATGGAGAAAATAATATTTACCCAGAATTCTTCTCAGGGAGAGTATTATGTGTGGTCAAAAGGATGGGGCTAATATCCTCCACCTTTATCTGTCCGTCTTTCCTCCCCTCCAGGGAGAATTCTAAAGTCCCTCAAGGAGATTGGATCAAGTTTGCTGGAGGGCTTTTATTTTGCTTTGTGGGACAAACAAATTTGGGAACCCTGCTTACTTGCTTGGAGCAATAGGAGAAGAGACTGCCACCACTGATTCTCTTTCTCTGCTTTTCTTGGAGAAAGAGTTCTAAGTCAGAGGTTCTCCGAGTGTGGCCCCCTGACCAAGCAGCATCAGCATCACCTGGGAACTTGTTAGAAATGCAAATGTTTGGACCCATTCTAACGTCCTGAATCAGAAACTCTGGGGGAAGGGCCTGGTATCTCTGTTTTAATAAGCCCTCCAGGGGATTCTTATGGATGCTAAAGTTTGAGAACTACCGCCAGATTTTGAAAAAATATTTAAAGAACATTGATTTGAAGGGAATACATTATTAGCCTGGCCACAATACCCATATATCTTATACTGATCCTGCATGTCACTCCCCTGGTTAAATCTTTTAGCAGCATCCATAGTCCTTAGGATAAATTTGTAATCCTTAAAGTAGCTTTAGAGGACCCTGCCTTCCTACCAATAACAACAATAATAAATAAAAGTAGCCAACATATATTCATTCCGCAAATATTTATTGAATATCAGTTATATACAGGTGTGGTTCTAGAGCCTAGACTCTTGAGATACAATTGTGAACCATATAGATCAAGTCCCTGCTCTCATGAGGTTCTAGACTAGAGGAGGAAACGGGGAAGCAAATAGATAAATAATAGTCAGTGAAGTGCTCTGCTGAAGATTGAAATAGGACGATGTGATAGAGAATGACTAGATGGCTGCTCTAGATTGGTTATTAGGGAAGGCCGCACTGAGAAGGTGGAATTGAAGCTGCACTTTGAGTGAAAATGGAGCCAGCAGGTGAATATCAGAAATACTGGCATTCCAGGTAGAGGAAGGTGGCTAGTGCCCAGCTCTAAAGCAGCAGCAAGCTCTGTGTGACCAAGGGACAGAGGAGGCTACTGTGATGAGAGTGAGAGAGTCTGAAGAAGTAGGAGGACGACGGCAGGGAGATATTAAGTAGGGGCCAGACATAGTTCTTTCTAAGCCACATTAGGAGTTTGGATTTTTTAAAAATTGAGATATAGGGGCCGGCCAGGTGGCACAGTGGTTAAGTGCTCACATTCCGCTTTGGCAGCCCAGAGTTTGCTGGTTTGGATCCTGGGTGCAGACATGGCAACACTTGGCATGCCGTGCTGTGGTAGGCGTCCCACATATAAAATAGAAGAAGATGGGCACAGATGTTAGCTCAGGGCCAGCCTTCCTCAGCAAAAAAAGAGGAGGATTGGCAGCAGTTAGCTCAGGGCTAATCTTCCTCAAAAAAAAAAAAAAAATTGAGATATAATTCATATACAGTAAAATTCACCCTTTTAAAATGTGCAGTTCACTGGTTTTTAGTATAGCCACAAGGTTGTGCACCCATCACCTCTGTCTATTTCCAGGGCATATTCACCACTCCGAAAGGAAACCCATACTCCAGGAGTTTGGCATTTAAGTGTGATAGTAAGCCCCTGGAAAATTTTAGCATGCGAGACATGATCTGATCATCAGGCTGCCAGGAGGAAAATGGATTCTAGGTAGGCAAGGGTAGAAGCCGGGAGACCAAGTGGCCTCTGCTGTACTTTAGGCAAGAGATAGTGGCCTGGATTATAGTGGAACAGAACAAGGTAAATGGGATCAGGATGCGTTTTGCAGGTAGACACAACTCTAATGCAGTGCTTCTTAAATTATCTGTGATGAAGAGCCAATTTGTCACATTTCCAATCTGTCCCAGATTAAAACTGTTGAAAAGCACGATAAAATTATAGAGAGAGTGTTTCCAGGGACACAGCTAGAGTAGTGGTCTGTTGGTCAGGATGAGCATATGGGATGCTTTTAGTCTGTGGCAATGCCTCTGTCAGTTTCCTGGATGGATCCAGAGACTTAACAAGAGAAATGGACTGTTTTTGTTGTTGTTTTGTTTTGTTCTGTTTTGTTTTGTTTTGAGGAAGATTAGCCCTCAGCTAACTACTGCCAGTCCTCCTCTTTTCTTGCCGAGGAAGCCTGGCCCTGAGCTAACATCCATGCCCATCTTCCTCTACTTTATATGTGGGACGCCTACCACAGCACGGCTTGCCAAGAGGGGCCATGCCCGCACCTGGGATCTGAACCAGCGAACCCCAGGCCGCCGAGAAGCGGAATGTGAGCACTTAACCTCTGCGTCACCGGGCTGGCCCCGAGAAATGAACTGTTGAGAACCGTGATTCAGTAGCTATCTTTTCGAAAAGTGTATATTTTTCTAAAAGGAAATTCAAATTTAAAAAGGAAAAAACCTTTGGAAAGAGGTTAAGAGCAGCTCTATTTATTAATGGCGAAAATTGTCGAAGCCCCAGATGCTCGAGCTGTGCTCTGTGCAGGCGTCTCTGCTCCCCTGGGCAGGTTTCTCCCTCCCTCTCTGTTCCTACGGTGCGTGCCTCTATGGGAGCACCACAGCACTGTCTGTGCTGCCTCTTGCGCAGGCTGGCTGGCTGACCTGCTGGGGTCATGGTGGGAGCTCTTCCTGTCTTAATCATCTCTGAACTCCTGACACCTCACACAATGCTAGCATATATATATATTATCGCATGGGAATAATGACTAAATAAATCGTGACTATGTTAACATCATGGAATAGTAGATAGTTATAAAAGTGATGAGCATGCAATATATCCTGTATGTAAAATAATAAATAAACCAAAAATGTAGTTCCAAAATAATATGAATACTGATTACTATGCTCAAGTACTTTCATAGAAATTAATGAAAACCTAGGTGGGAGTGGTTTTCTCTATAGGGCTGCTTTAAAGAACTCTGTTTTATCTTTAAGCGTCATAAAACACCATTTTTACGTAAAATTCTTTAATTCTAAACTTTCTCTAGACTAAGAAGTTAAGAAATCACATTTTTAATTTGAAATTAAAGTTGAATACATTTTCTTCTTTAACTGCTAGAAAGCTGAAAGCCAGATGTCAGCCCAGCTCTAGCAACACGAAGACTTCAAGGCAAAACATGTTGATACTAACTTATTTCTGTCTTAGCTTATTTTCTTGAACAGTTTTCTTATTTTAAAAATCTAACATATAGATATGCATATATATGGCACAGGTTGCAGCACCCTCATTCCTCATCCTATATTCTTCCCTACTTTATTTTTCTCCTTACCATTTTTTCCTACCTAACATACTATAGATTTCATTCGTTTTGTTTGTCAACTTTCTCTTTTCGCTGGAATGTAAACTCCTTGGGCACAAAAATATTTTCCTGTTTTGTTCACTGCTGTTTCCCCACATCCTAGAATAGTGCTGAGTATATAGTGCTCAGTAAATTTCTATTGAATTAATGGATGAATTGTAAATAAATATGTGTGTATATTTATTTATAAATATGTGCTGTTTTCTTCAAACAATAATTTACTCAAAATATTTGATGAGCTACTCTGTACTGGACATTGGGATGGAGTAGTGAGCAGGTTGGCAAGTTCCCTTCCCTTAGTTGTTCTTGCAGCAACAAGCATCTGCTGCGTACTAGTGTAGGTATTAGGACAGCCGGTAGTCAAGGGAGGTGTCCTAACAAGGAAAACAGGGGTCGAGGAGGGTCTCCCCGGAGAAGTGATCTAAAGGGAGTGGGAGCTCATCCTGTGAGGAGAGCTAGGGATAGAAGGAGTGCCCTGTCTGCAAGCCTGTGACGAGCTGACAGGTGAGACAGCACTGCTTAGAAGTACTTCGTCTTAGTCAGAAACTTGTGATCGTTAGATAGTTGACTAAATGTCTTCTCCACCCATGGGTACAAAGAATAATAGATATTTTCAGATTTATCATTGTAAAAAATATGTGGGGGATAGAATATGCTCAACTGATTCTTACCTTGTCTTTGAAATATAGCATTTTCCATTCTTTCGTTTGCTGTGCTAAATCAGTACATATCTCTTATTGAAACTTTTTCTTTTTAAAAATATAGATTTGTTGAAGAGGACCATATTCCTTACATAAATGCTTTTCAGCATTTTCCAGAAGAGATGAAATTATATGGACGTGACAAAGGAATCTTTGCTATAGAGGTAAATTATTTTCTTTTTTACTTTGTAGTCACAAATAAGACACGAGAGTAATATGGTGGTTTATATTCCTTGCCTGGCTTATTATTTGGTGTTGGAGTTTTTAAAATGTCATCTAGTTTTTGTTCTGTCCAAATATGGAACATAAGTCATAATTTATTGAAGAGTAGAATTATTATTTCTTATTAGTATAGTGTTGAGACTAAACGTTATAAGTTTTACATAGAGACCTTTAGGTAATTTCAAATTTTCTAAAAAATATTTTTTGTTGTTATTTGCACACTGTGTTGCTTTGGAGAAAAGAAAAGAAAGTTAATACCTTGTTTCACGAGGCACTATTTTAAGTCCTTTGCTTGTGTTAGTCTTTTTCCAGATGTTTTCAGATGTCTCCAGTGGAAGGCTTCTGTCCTTTGGTGATGTGTCTTTCTCACTATTTCTAGCACTCAAAGGCTATCTTCCCTTTGTTCTTCATCATCAGGTTGTCAGTATGCTAAATATTAATATTAAATATTATCCTCTGCCCATTTACGGAATTATTTTCATAGACCTTTCTAACCTTTATGACCTTCATAATGTTTGTGGTTTAATTCAAAGACGTTTGTAATCCTCACTAGATCCTGCATTAAAGTATGGTTCACTGTCATCCCAGTTTTGCATGTGAGCAAACATCTCGGAAAGGTGGAATGATGTGCTAACTCCTGCAGTTGGTCTCAGCCTCACGACTATAGTACTTTAGGCCTTTTGCTCATTGTCTCATCTTTTGCTGTTTGTCTGCTCCTCTGCCCTCCTCAATTACCCTAGTTCTTCAAAACACTTAAATAGGTGCTATGAAAATATAAGAGTTTATTACACCATAGTTCCATAAAGTACCGATTTTTACACATTGAGCCAGAGGGAAATGGATGATTGAACATACAGATAAATAAGCTTGCAACATAGTGTGACATTTTACATCTGAGGTTATTAAATATTAGCAGCATTTTGCATTGAATTAGAATATTGGTCACTGTGAATGATTTGTAGAGACCATTAGATTTTGAAGCCAGAAGTGGCTCTGCTCTCAGAACAACTTATGTGGGAGCAGTCCCTATAATTTGGAGAGCAGAAAGCAAGCTTGGAGGTGGGTTCCCAGTACTGCTTCCTCACACTCACCATTATTTCATGCCCAGGAGAGATGAGGCGAGTTCCCAATGTGTTTGCCCTTGCAGTGTTGCACATCCATGGGCCGCACAAGGAAGGAGAGTATAGCTGCAGCTCCCTCTTGACCTGGAAAAAACAAAAGAGAAATGATAATAGTGCTGGTGCTTATTGTGTACTGGGCCCTGTTTTAAATACTTTATAAATTCATTTTTTATTCATACTAACCCTATGAAGTATGTATTATTAGTATTATTACTCCTGTTGTACAAATGAGGAAACTGAAGCACAGAGAGATTAGGTAACTTACCTGGTCCTGTCACTCTGAACTCAGTCCAGCATAGCCAAGGCAGCCTTAGTTTAGAGGGGAACAAAAGAGCCAGACCATACCAAGCAGTGAGGCCTGGTGAGGGGCAGGGCAGAGAGCAGCGGGGGCAGGAAGTGGGAGTAGTTTATTGAGGCAAAAAAGGCACTCCAGACAAGTTACCCAAACCAAGATGTGGCTCTGTGGCAGAGATGGCAACCAGAACCAGAAGGCAGGGGATGGAAGATTCAACTGGAGGGTGGTCCAGGCAAGTAGTGACAGTGGGGTAGCAAGTACACGTGTCCTGGCATGAGGCACAGGCGGGCTAGCCAGGGTGGCCTTCATGAATGCTGGACCTTTCTGAAAAGGCAGGTTAGTCTATTTCTCAGCTTGGGCAGGGTTGCATTTGTTTAAAGGACTAAGGACATAGAGGACACATCCTCCTTTTCCAGAGGGCACTCAAGACCCCAGCCAATTTGTCAGAGATGTGGTGGCTTAATTGAACTTGGGTAAAATCAGGGAAGTAAATACTGAAGTTTAAGATGTCCCTACCATCTCAGGGGCTGTGTTCACATCTAGGAAAAGAATTACACAAGTTCTTAGTTTCAGAACTAGCCTGGACTCAGGGTTGATTGGTTTTTCATCGTTTTTAATGGCATCCTGTGCTCAGTGAGACAAGTCTGGACTTCCTGGGCATGCCTTGGACAATACTGATGCTACCCTGAAACTGTCACAAAGGAGTTTTAAAAAAATAATTGATTCGAAAATCCGTATAATTTATTAATTAGTAATTTTAGATTTAGCAACTAAAAAATTGTTTATGGCTAGTCATGTGAGCCTTGTTTAAATGTTCTACTGAAAGGAAAATACATTTGGTTCAATAAGTCTAGATGAGTGTCTTTATATTTGTTCAGTTTTTTTAGAGGGACCAATGGAACTGAGTTATTTTACCAGCTTAGTCTTAGCTAATAAAACTTCTCTTCCTCTCGCCTTCCCTTCTTTCCTCGCCTCTTCCCCTCCCCTCCTTTCCCCTCTCTCCTCTCTCTCCTCTCAATCCCTAGTATATTCTATATCTTACATCCTAACTGACAGGTTTAACCTGATTTCTTAGAGTCATTCACCATTCACATTATATTGATAATGTTTATACTTGGTTGAGGTTTTTATACTTTTTCCTGGTGCCTAAAATTATTACTTAGTTGTCTTTAACTCTAACCAAATTCTAAGTTTCTCAGGAATAGACACCAGAATCTTTTATATAGAATTATGGAATATTAAAGCTGGAGGGAAATTTAGAGATCACTTAGTCCACTTTCCTGATTTTTCCAATAGGGAAACAGGCCTAAGAAGAAATGTGACTTGGGAATAAATACATCTCTATTTTGTTAGAGTTCTAATGAGGATTATTTGAGATAATGAATATTGCAGATATTCAGATGGTAATAGGCTCCCTTCCTGGTCCCAGGATGGAAAAGCTTTTGTTCTAAGGTGGGGATTAAGAGGGTAATCAAGCTGCTTGGAGAAAAAAATGTATCGTTTTTAGAAAATAAAGTTTTCATTTTAAATGTCTGTTAAAAAAAAACTACAAAAACCTTTGAATGTGCCCATTCCTAAGTTTTCTCAAAGTAGTTTCCAGGAGGTCCATGGATATGACTCTTGCTTTTCATTATAGTGTTTTATACTTTTGGTTACCATAAATTCAGCTTCTTGCAAAGGATTTTGCTTCCTGGGCTGCGTTTATATGCTTGAGATTGGTATCTAACCAGTAATTTCCTTTTGAATTAAGAAATTAGGCTTCTCTTTCTATATACTCACATAGACACTCAAATTTCACTCTATAAAAATAATTATTTTTTAAAATTTATTCTCCATATCCTTTCAAACAGTAATAGAATAGATCTCATTATTGCCACATGTTTAAATGACTGCAAGAGTGACATATAATGCACAGAGTCAAGAAACTGTTACTGTAATAGCCAATGTGGCTCACATTCCCAGAAGCCTAGCTTAAGCCTTTAGTTAAGATTTGCACTGCCTGCCTTTGAGCAGTGTGGTAAGAAGTGTCTGCAACTATTATAGCCACTCTTATTGCTGGTGGTGTTTCAGGGTTTCAGCCTGAAATATTATGTTATTTCTGCCTCTCCAAAGTATTCACAATTTGAGACTTAAGTTTTGTAAATCAAAAGGTGAAGTGAGTTATTTTATGTTTTATTTTTGCTTGTTTTATTTTTGCTCTAAAACCATTCAAATACTAATTTTTACTCATCCTATCCATTACTGTGATTGCAACTTTTTCTTTGGCATTCTATCAGTTTTTGCTTCAAGTGTTTGGGAGCGCTGGTACTAGGTACATAACCTTTAGGATATTTTGTTTTCTTGATGAGTTGACTCCTTTATCATTTTGTAGTGCCCTTTTTTCATCCTGGTAATATTTCTTGTTTTGACATCTACCTTGTTTGATATTAACATAACCACTCCAACTTATTTTTAAATTAATGTTTGCACAATATGTGTTTTTCCAGTCTTTTCTTATCTGTGTCTTTATACTTAGAGTCGTTATATTTAGACAGTATGTAAAGTCTTGATTTTTTTAATCCAGTCTAATGACCTCTCCCTTTTAATTAGACTGTTTAGACCATTTACGTTTGATGTAATTATAAATACAGTTGGGTTTAAATCTACCACCTTACTACTATTTGTCCCATCTAGTCTTTATTCCTTTTTTCTCTTTTCTTGCCTTCTTTTGAGTTAAGAATTTTTTTATGATTCCATTTTATCTCCTATTGATTCGTTAATTATACCTCTTTTTTTTTAAGTGGTTGCCCTAGAGTTTACAGTATTCATCTTTAACTTATCACAGTCTACCTCAAATAATAATATACCAGTACATGTTTAGTGTAAGACCATTAGAACAATATATTTCCACTTCCCTCCTCTTACCTGTTATAAATCACACAACATGATGGGATTATTTTTGCCTTAAAAAGCTGTTTGTTGGGGCTGGCCCAGTGGTGTAGCGATTAAGTTTGTGCACTCTGCTTCAGAAGCCCAAGGGTAACTGGTTCAGATCCCAGGTGCAGACCTATGCACTGCTTGTCAAGCCATTCTGTGGCAGGTGTCCCACATATAAAATAGAGGAAGATGGACACAGATGTTAGCTCAGGGTCAATCTTCCTCAGCAAAAAGAGGAGGATTATGGGGCCAGCCCTGTGGCTGAGGGGTTAAGTTCACATGTTCCACTTTGGCAGCCCAGGGTTTCGCTGGTTTGGATCCTGGGTGTGGACATGGCGCTGCTCATCAGGCCATGCTGAGGCGGTGTCCTACATAGCAGAACCAGAAGGACCTACAACTAGAATATACAACTATTTACTGGGGGCCTTTGGGGAAAAGAAGAAAAGAAAAAAATAAAAGAAGATTGGCAACAGATTAACATCTCAGGTACCAGTCTTTAAAAAAAAAGAAAAAGAGGAGAAGTGTCTGCGGATGTTAGCTCAGGGCTAATCTTCCTCGAAAGAAAAAGTCATTTGTCTTTTGTTTTGTTTATTTCCTTTTTTTTTTCCCC